TATATTGTGCCACATATCCATGCATGGTACCCTGAAGGCAACTGCTTCTTCTTGTGGGAATAGTTGATCAATATCTACAATTAAAATTATTGATGACAATATTTAAAACATACTTATCATATGCTGATATCTCCTGAAATTGAATTATCTTGCATTTTTTCTCAGTACTACATCTACTAGCATTTAGTTTTGAAAGTGTGAATACTAATATTTGGACCCTAGCTGTTAAATTATCTTTAATACCTTAAATTCCACACAAAAGACAGGATTCTTCAATTCTTGGAATACCTCAAACACTTTCCTTACTCTGTCTCCTTCACTTGAAAGGCCCTATCTTGCGTAAGATTTCCCTGCTCAAATGGCAATGACAAATATTATCTTTTTCGAAAGTTGTAGCTATTTGTAGGTACATGAATTATGAATTGATATACTGGGTATGTTTCAGATACTCAGAAATAAGTCATGATAAAGATATACTGGTCATATCTATAATCTATTAATGACTCATTTCCACATTTCCAATCATAGTAAATGTATCTAAACTCCATATCCTCGGAGAAATGTCTCCACATTTTTTATTTCCTGTTCACTATGTGGGTGTTGTCGATTAAATCATCTCGATGTATTTTGCGAATAGACATTACACTTAATCTGAAGTGGCAAAGCTGTCAGTTATCAAAGAAATATGACCAGTTCTCTCTGTCGTACATATTAGTACCAGTAACATATATACTGAGTACTTAGTAGTACTTACTATACAAGTTCTTGGTAGTTCGTGCCTTATAAGGAAAACGACTATTGAAATACAGTATATCATTTTTTAATACAGCATCCCTGTATACTTTTGTTATATTTATAAATGCGTGAAAAATATGAAGATAATGCATAGTATTCATAATCAAAAGTCCATAAAACAATACAAAATAGGAGCAGAGCAGACACGGACCTCTAAATCATCAGAAGTGGGAGCAGGTGCCATGGAGAATTGAGCATCCCCTGCCGACCGGTGGGCTCCTTGTCATGATCGGGAAATAACGAGAAAATTCGTTGTCTATCAGTGTATAAATAATGGTCTAACAATTAGTAAGAAAAGGCCAGTCAGCATTTGACTCAATTATAAATTGTATTTGCTGACAAGATCATTGTATCGACCATAGAATTTACAAAATGATGACTTTAAACGATACTGCTGATATTCTTGTTCCATCAACTTGTTTGTCAATAATACGCTTCGTTTTAGAAATTGTTCATACGTAGAACATGCTCTTGCGTAACGAATCAACTGAGTGTATATTGCTGCATAAGTAAGGGAAGTTGACGTTTTACAGTTTAAGTCATCACGATTATCAAATAGCTTGGTTATGAGATTACAATCAATGTCTTTTTCAAGTAAAATATCCATAGATTTTTGAAAAATTGTTTCATATGAATACAAAAATAGGTCTGCTAATAACGGGGCGCAATTGGTACCCATTGGAATTCCAACAGATTGTTGGAAGTTCTGGTCTCCAAAAAGCACATGGATATCAGAAACTCGAGCATCTTTTTATGTCAAATTCAGAGTACTTGTGTGTACAATCAGAATGTTTTCACAAAAATATTTTGCAAATGACCAATGACAAGGAAAGTAAATTTACGAGTTCAATTTTTTTGAAAAAGCAGCTGTCAATGTCACAGTGTATCAAAAAGCCTGGACTTTAATTAATCATGTGAAATGGTTGTGTATGAAGTTTAAAAGTTTTAGGTTTTTAAGCTGTTGATTTTGGTAAAACCCTGTGATTTCAAATTGTCCAAAAGTTCCATGGAATTTTTAAGAATATACATCTGATTTACACACTTTTTTTTAATGTATTGTTGCACAGTACTCTTAAAGTTTCTCCTTCACCACTCTTTATATCTTAGGTTACCTGCATGCAGGTTATTTTATGTTCTAATAATTTTTGTATAAAATCCTTAAATGTTAAGAGCATGTCCTAGGCGAGATGACTAACAAATCAAACATTTTTTGACCAAATTGAAAATTAGAAATCTTTAAACAATACATCAATTTCAGAGAACTGAAATCAGAGTGATTTTAAACAAAATGATTTTGTTGATGACCAAAACAAGAAACCAAAAGAGATCCAAAAATTTCCAACTTTCATTTTAATCGAAGAAGCAGTTGTCCCTGATAAAAAAATTGCCTTACAGTGTATATGGAGAATTTGATATGCATGTTTGTAGTCATTAGTGACTTTCGTACAGAGAACCAGCCCCTGCTCTAAGGGGGTCATGGATTGCCCAAACTTGTATCAGTACATTGTATGCATCTCTTTCCTAAAGCCATATCACATCGACTTTACAATAAAACTATTGAGATCGATTTCAAAAATTAGTGCTTTGACAGTAAAAGGGTCCCTTCCGTACCTGTCCACTGTTAAAATAAGAAGGTCTAAACATGGAATGTTGGCCAGCTCCTCAGTTAATTTACTCTTAAACATTAAAACATAACAGTATTATACTTTTTTCAGCTTTGACCAGGCTAAATAGGTTCCAGATCTTGTAACATTAATTTATTATAACAGTGGAAACGTCCCTCCCAGACGACAGGCACTTGTTTCGATAATGAATTTTTAACCCGTAGTATGATAATAACACAAAGTATATCTAACTCCGAATTACACTCAGAAACCCCCTCCTCAGAAAAGCAGTCATCTACACTTTCAGAGGAAATGTACTGACAAACTGTTTATTACCAGTGTCTTCTATGATTATTTATCTACACAACCTAATATGGCATGTATATCTTTGTTTTTTTTTTTTATCTCTGTAAACAGCGTCAAAACTCTGCTTACCTAGTGGAAAAATCGAACTCAGCCATAAAAGGGTATGTGCTAATCTCGGGCAAAGAGCAAAATTTAGAAATGAGTGGGTTTAAAAATTCAATTCCAGATTTTAAATATTGCATTAAAGATATAAAATGTGATTATGTGTCATTTTCTATAAAAACATTACGACATTTTTTCGATGTAATTTCAGAAACAGATTTTTAGTCAATCAAAATCTCTGTGCAGGATTAGCACATATTGTTTCATGGTGGAGTTCGACTTCTACACTAGGCAAGCAGAGTTTTGACGATCTTTACGGGAATAAAAGAAAACAAAGACATGCATTCCATACAGGTATATGGTTGTGTAGATAAATTATGATATCATAGAAGACAAAAGTAATAAACAGTTTGCCAGTGCATTTTCTCTGAAAGTGTAAATGACTGCGTTTCTGAGGAGGGGAGTACTGAGTTTAATTCGGAGTTAGATACATTGTGTTATTATAATGATTATACTACGGTATAAAAATTTATTTCCGAAACAAGTGTCTGTGTCCAATACTCCTCCCCTGTAAAAATATGAAGGTCTAAATAATGGGATCCAGGATGTTAGCTAGCCCCTCGATCAATGTACTCTAATACATGTACATTAAAACTTGCAATAGTATTATACTTTTTTCCAATTTTGACCGGGCTAGCAAAATAGGCTTCCGGTCTTGTGACATCAGTTCCTTTTGAGAGTCCAAGAGTCCCTCCAAGACCCTTACTCTGTATAAATATGAAGGTCTAGATATGGGATCCAGGATGTTGGTCAGGCCCTGGCATAAGGTTTACTTATTAGTGGTATTATATCAATTATCATCATTTTGGTCAGGCTAGCTACATTGTTTGAGGTCCTCTCTTCTTTTTTAAGGGATGTCTTTGGTATGCTTCAAATTCTTTTTTTTTTTAGATTATAAGGACATTTACGTGAATTTGAATAGAGAACTGGGAGACAGACTGCAGTTCGCCATTCGAAGTCAATAGGGAAAAAACCTTCTAACTTCTGAATGTCTTAACTTAGCAAAAATTTCAAAACAGAAAAGTATAGCTCTAAGAACACTGAAAAAACCCATTAGAAATTACTTTGAAAATCAGCAGTCTACTGAATTATAATTGTGAATCTAGATATAAAGTACGTGTACTTAGTACTTGTGAATTATAACACCGGGTTTCCGTACTTTTTAGTAGCTTACCCTAGCGCTCTGCTGCACCTCAAAATTATAAATTGAAAATCATAAACCATTTTTTTTCATCATAATGCATTAAACAGTGACTGTCGTATTCTTTGCTTAGGGGCCATTGGCATCGGAAACAAATTGGAAGTGTTGGAGGGCTCATTCAAAGAGAAAAAATTCAAACCTGAAAAGAAAATTGACAAGCAAAATAAAAAAGGGAAAATTTTAAATTTGCCATTGTCCAGACCTAGAAATCTTATGTGGTGGTGGTTGGACTAGGTTCGAACTTTTTCTCAGTGCAACGTGTCTGTTAAAAGTGGGGAGCTAAACCTACGCCCCAATCTTCAATGCCTATATTATGTCTATCTTTGCAAAAGAAGGGGACTAAGCCCCCCAAGCCCCTCCCCCCGGTCCCGACGCCTATGGGGACGGATCAATCCTGATGGACCTTTTGACCAAAATATATGCAAAGATCGGAACTTTTTTAAAAAACGGGGGAAATGTTGTTCACGCCAACTTTAAAATGAACAAAAAAAATTCAAACTACGAATTAGATATTTAACTTTTGAGCATTGATTTTTAAATATGATTTTGATCTAGTACTTATCTCCTGCATGTCATAGGAAAATCATTATAACTAATGAACATCTATCACAATGAATTTTTATGTTTAAATCAATTTATATTTCATCTTATAGGCAAATTCTTAAGTACCATGAAACGATTCTTGGATGAAACGATTCTTTGAAAAAAAAAAACCCCGGAACGATGACACTATATTTTTTTTAAAAATTCATTGCAATTCGCTGCGCCTTAAAATTAATTAGTTAATTTGTCATGCTATATGTGGGTTCCATAAGAAGTAAATCGAGGTTCGAAGTTAACCAGACCGATACATGTATATAGACAGGACCCTGTCAGATACAGATGATTTTTGTGGGTAACAATAGTAAATATGTAGACGTTAAAAATATGTCTAATTCATGCATCCTGGGAATAACTGAGACACAACAATAGAAGCTCACTGAAAAAGAAAATAGGAACATTTCTTGAGAAAAAAATCTGAGAAATAAAAATGTAACATCTCTATACACTGATCGTTCTCGTCAATTTATGTTTTTAAGGTCAATCAAGAGACAATGGGTTCTGTATTCTTGTGAACGAGACAATAATTCCAAAGTCGACACATGGGATCCAATAATCCGATTACACAACGTATCGATCGCAGACAGGAAGTTCTCACACTGGAGGTCACAGGACGGCTAGCCTTGTCGATACCCATGCAGATGATTAGGGTCAATGTGCATATAAGGCGCTTTATTATTTTCTTTGGAAAGACATTAAACTACAGTACACACGCGACAACGTTATGAATGAATATCGGAAGTGCAGCATTCTACCAAATTCATGGCCTACAGGTGCGAGTGGGTTGTGTATACAGAGAAAACAACACGTGTTTATACTAAGAGTCGTGTGTTAAATCGATGACACACTATTGTAAAAAAAAAAGAGCATGCCGTCTACATGTTAATGCTGGCCATATGAAAGAGGAAGATGTACCTACTACACATTAGAACGGATTTCCTTACTTTGAACTAGTGTTCCTGACAAAACAGGGAAAACGTTATATTTTTCTGATTAATTTAATGAGGAACTGAATATAGATGGCTGGAAATTCGGGAAAAGAAACCGAAGCTGTGAAACAGACAAATGGATTCAGTCACCTTCGTTTTAGTCGCATGTTCATTCATTCTGGTTACTTATTTCGGAAATTGTGGTATGTATAAATGTATAAATGCTTTTGTTTCCTTTAAAATGTGTTTGAGTTAACTCATCTCTGTGGCTGTTGTTATATTGATGTTTTTCAATTGTTTTCATTGTTTCTTTGTTTAGTTCATTTGCCCATTGTGTCTGATCGGGACCGTAGAAATGTTGACTTCAATTGATAATTAAGGGGAGCCGGGCGCTGTTAGATAATAAAACACCACACCGGAAACGATCATCAGCTGATTATTGGTTCAGCATTCACAATGCCCTAAAGATATAAACTCATTATTATCATATAAAGATTAAGATACAGATGCGATAGTATTCGTTAGAATTACTTTACCTATAACCTTTCATTCAGTGGTAAATAAAAACCTTTTAGACCAGTCTGGTTGTCACTGAGGAACAAAGATCCCATTGATAAAATTAAACGAGCCACATACGCTAAAATTGCGTGAAGACTTTAAATGAAGTATAATAAATGACACAGACCACATTACAACAATTACCCACATGGTCTGAAGTTTGAATTTTCTATACGTAGCACCTATATACAGGACACAAGACTCGTGTTCATATGAATATAAAACCACGAATTCTCATTTTGAATTAAAATTAATAGGATATATATACACGATATATTCAAAAGAAAAAAAAACAACAGGAGATAAGGAAAATGATTATTTCTAGGCGTATCCTGAATGAAGCGTATAATATAAGTATTTTGGAATGTTCGGAGTAAATATTGAATCATATACTGACTTTATTCCTACCTGTAAATCAACATATGGTAATGAAGATATCAGCCTTTTAATTTTTGACATTTTATATGCTAACTTTTACCACTTGTGGGTGTTCCAAACAACACTTTACTATGTAAAGAATTTCAACTCCCGTAACTAATATCTCAACTGAATGTAAGGATACAGGTGCATTTATAATTTTTCTTAAGATTTATTTAATTAACAAAGAGCCCAAACGCCTTTAGGTCAACTGAGTATAATACACTCCTTTAATATATAACCTGGAACTTAAAAATAAAATAAGTATAGGATGATTATCTACCATCAAAAAAGTTTATCTTATATTCAGTATAAACTCTGTGAGTTTCTGAAGCATTATATGATAGTATACTATCCACACTATCACAGCATATCTGAACAATAATGTTATAGCGTATTACTAGTATACGGCTTTCGTGAAAGACACCCAGGTAATTGACTTTCTTGATCACTGAATAAAAATTCATGTACATACACTCTATGTAAGGTCTTTCTGTTATGTTTATGTTCATCTTTAAATTACAAGTCTTCCTGACTATAAAAATATAAAATGTATTTTTGCCTTATTTTAAAAAACTAAAAAGAATTTAAACATACATTTTATTTATTTAAGATTCTTGTCGTCCCAAGAAAGTTGGAATTAGAACAAAATATTACTAGATTAATTCTGTCCTCATTTAAAAGTCTCTATATAGATAAAAATAAACCTTAGATAAAAATTTAATGTTGGTTATGTTAGTCAACAGTTTACAAAAAGATCTCATCCGTCCTTGATTATAATTGTTAGAACTAAAAAAAATCAATTGTCAATAACCATGCGGATAATATTCAATATCTGTATTTCTGATTTCAGTCCTCATAAATCGTAGTGAATCATGAATGACCGTAATGTTTTGCAAAACTGGTACATGTATTTATATACTAGGTATTCTGCACATTCTTGATGCTCGTATGCAATTTAACCGAAAACGATTTTTGCAGCCCAATTTTTTCATAAAATCTTTGCCCTTTTTTGATCAATTAATTATCTTTCCTTAGAAGGAGGTATGATTCTCACAGTTTTTATTGCGATTTACACAGGATCATAGAAATGAAATTAAAATCAGTGTGTTCTAAAAAAAAAAAAGCTCATTTACTTGCTGCAATTTTATCTATTATGAATAAAACTACATGTTACAAATAGATAAGATTAAAGCTGAACACGACCCCTAAAAAGTCATATGTCAGGATAGTTTTCATACCTCCTATGAGCAGCATTACGATACATGTATACATACACCCTCTGTTTTACCACAACTTTCACAAAGGCAATGGGACAAAACTTTATTTATTTTGAAGGAATTGAGATGCATGAGGCTATATTCCACTTTTATCCGTTTAAGTTCCAGTTTTTAGTTTACAACAAAGGCAAACGAAATGGTGTTTAGAATATAAAAATAGAAGAAATGCACAAAATACAATGAATTATGGTGTGCGCTTGAGCTTCTTTTTGTACAATAACTCATAAGATTCTGTTGTTTTTCTACCTTTTTAGATTCGACATGTTCTGTCTTGTGTAAGAAATGTGATTCATTTACCAATGAATGCGTAACATGTGTAGGGGGATGGTATGGTGACCAGTGCACGAACGAATGTAACAGAAAATGTCTCTTGTTAACCGTCAGTGGTGAAGCCGCTCGATATTGTGACAGAAAGACAGGTAGATGTTCCGAATGCGAGGCAGGGAAGTATGGAGAAACTTGCGACATGGATTGTGGCAAAGGGTGTATATACGGTGATAAGGAGCGACAATGGGGGAGGCATTGTGACCGAGAATCAGGCGTGTGTTCCTTTGGGTGTGATGTAAAAAGCGGGTACTATGGTGTTCAGTGTGATAAGAAATGTAGCATCGGATGTGAGGAAGATTTTCAAGCATCAATACGTCCTTGTAACCCAGACAACGGGGTCTGCTCATTGGGCTGTGAACCAGGATGGATTGGTAAGACCTGCGAAGAAGAATGTGGAATACACTGTGTGACCAAATATGATCATTATTATAGAAAAGACATTCGGCATTGCAATAATATTACAGGGGCTTGTCAAAATGGATGCGAGTCTAGATGGTTTGGAAGTAATTGCTATTGTGATAGAGAGGGTTATATGTGTGATGAAACTGGATGTAGCAGCGAAAGTAATAAATGTAACAACTGTTTGAAGGGTTATTATGGAGAAGAATGTAAAACCAGGTGTCCCAATAACTGTAACAGAGAGGGATGTAACAGGCAGAGCGGGAAGTGTATCCGTTGTGCAGACAATATGTTTGGAGAGACTTGTTCGTGCAGAGGACATTGCATGACGTCTGGGGAGCTGGATGCTGGCTGTGACGAGAGTGGTGTATGTAACACGTGTCAACATGGATTTCACGGCCCTTTGTGCACTCGTACGTGTTCTTCAAATTGTATGGGAGGACAGTGCGATAGAAACAGTGGAACTTGTGATAGCTGTAGTCCTGGATATTACGGAGATCAATGTGACAAAAATTGTTCAAACACTTGTGATGTAAACGGTTGCGATAAAGTCAGTGGATCTTGCCATGCATGTTTATCGGGATATTTCGGTTCTTTTTGTAACAACACATGCCCCCAAAACTGTTTATCTCAAAATTGCTCCAAAGATACAGGTGTTTGTTATGAATGTTCGGGTGATTGGACCGGGAATCGTTGTCAATGCAGAGGGAAATGTCTGAAAGAGAATCAATGTGATGCCAATGGGATTTGTGTTACCTGTATTGACGGAAAATTTGGGGAATTTTGTGATAAAGACTGTCCAGGGAACTGCGAGGGTGGGTGTGTACGAAGTACAGGGAATTGCATTAAATGCCAGAAAGATTGGTATGGACAGCAATGTTACTGTACTGGCATGTGTGGAGATCGCGAATGTGAAGTTTCAACAGGTCTATGTCACGAATGTCAAAATGGTTACCATGGTGAGAAGTGTACAGAGAGGTGCCCCCCAAACTGTGACGATTCTGGATGCAATCGGTATGACAGTTCTTGTAATCAGTGTAAGCCAGAGTGGTTTGTGGAAAGAAAGCAATGTTCCTGCAGTGGTCATTGTAATGACCATGGCTGTTACACGGATTCTGGAATTTGCATAAACTGCGATCGCGGATGGTATGGGACAAAATGTACAAGTTCCTGTCCCAGTAACTGTTTAAATGGAACCTGCAACAAAGAAACGGGATTTTGTATTGATTGTTCTCCTGGTTTTTATGGGATGTCATGTAATAAATCATGCCCCCAAAATTGCAAAGATAAGAAGTGTAACATCTTAACTGGAGACTGCTTAGAGTGCACACCTGAACGCTCAGGAAAGACCTGCTCTTGTGTCGGATACTGTTATGAAGGAAAATGTTCAAACAGTGGAAGGTAAGTGCTTTTATTAATGTAATGTAAATCAAGAAAATTTCTTTTTTGTTTTACTTAATGATTTTCATTCATTTCAGGTGTATTACATGTAAGATTGGTTATTATGGAGAAAATTGTTTATCCCGTTGTCCACAAAGCTGTCCTGAATCATGCGATAGAACAAGTGGTGTCTGCCGATCTTGTGAAAAGGGTTTTCATGGAGCATTTTGTAATATAAGATGCTCGAGATTCTGCAGTGGCAGTGAATGCGAAAAAATAACCGGTAAATGTAAAAAATGTATCGATGGAAAATATGGAGATGATTGTTATTGCAATGGCCACTGTGGAGAATTGGAATGTAATAAAAATACTGGAATTTGTTACAAATGTGCAGCGGGATATTTTGGCGATATCTGTACAACGCAATGTCCCGCTAATTGCAATTACCTAGGATGCGATAGAGAGTCTGGAAATTGTATCCAATGCAAGTATGGGTGGTTTGGATCAAAATGCGCGTGCACTGGTCAATGTGGAAAAAGTGGTTGCAATAATTCAGGAAGTTGTTATGAGTGCCAACCAGAAATGTATGGGGAACGATGTGACAAGGCTTGCCCTCGCTATTGTGCTGAAGTTACGTGCGGAAGACAGAACGGTCATTGTGCTTCTTGTGATACAGGTTGGTCAGGGCCAACTTGTGACTGCATCGGACACTGTAACAATGATACGTGTAGAGCTGATAAAAAGTGCGAAACCTGTAAGTCAGGCTGGTTTGGTAGTGACTGCAGGCCATCTTGTCCGATAAACTGTAATTCTAAAGGATGTGTACGAGAGACAGGATTATGCCATGAATGCAAGGCTGGATTCTTTGGAAATAGATGTAAATGTACTGGCCATTGTGACTCTGATGGATGCGACAGTAATGGTCGTTGTGTTGCGTGTGATGCTGGTTTTTCTGGAGATCTTTGCTTAAATAGTTGTCCAAAGCATTGTGCTGGACTTAAGTGTTCACGAGGTGGCTTGTGCAATGCATGTGAAGATGGATGGTTTGGGGAAAATTGTGAATGTTTTGGACATTGTATGGATAATTTATGTAATAAGGAAGGCAAATGTAATAGTTGTAAACTTGATTGGTACGGGCCAAACTGCAATATAAGTTGTCCAAAGTATTGTGCGAATGGTTGCAATAGGGACACTGGAAAATGTTATAAGTGCAAACAAGGGTGGTATGGTGAAATGTGTTCATGCACTGGACATTGTGGAGAGAAGGGATGTAATGCCAATGGAACTTGTTTTAATTGTAAATTTGAATATTTTGGAAGGCATTGTTTACAGAAATGTCCCTTGAATTGTAATAACCTGGGATGTAACAGAACAACTGGATATTGCAAAAGATGTAAAGAAGGATATTTTGGAAATGAATGTAATTGTACCGGAAAATGTGATTCGGGAGGTTGCAGTATTAATGGAACTTGTTATGCATGTGCTTCTGGTTATTCTGGTCAGAACTGTTTGGAAGAATGCCCATCAAATTGCAGGGAAAGCTTTTGCTTGAGAAATATTTCTTGTATCTCATGTAAAGAGAATTGGTTTGGAAATAAATGTATGTGCACTGGTAATTGTCTTGACAGTAAATGTAATCCTCAGGGAATTTGCGAGATCTGTGCAGTTGGGTGGCATGGTGAGATTTGTCGTAATAAATGTCCCCAAAATTGTGTAGGTGGTTGCAATCGGGACACTGGAAAATGTTATAAGTGCAAACCAGGGTGGTATGGTGAAACGTGTTCATGTTCTGGACATTGTGGAGAGAAGGGATGTAATGTCAATGGAACTTGTTTTAATTGTAAATTTGAATATTTTGGAAGGCATTGTTTACAGAAATGTCCCTTGAATTGTAATAACCTTGGGTGTAACAGAACAACTGGATATTGCAAAAGATGTAAAGAAGGATATTTTGGAAATGAATGTAATTGTACCGGAAAATGTGATTCGGGAGGTTGCAGTATTAATGGAACTTGTTATGCATGTGCTTCTGGTCATTCTGGTCAGAACTGTTTGGAAGAATGCCCATCAAATTGCAGGGAAAGCTTTTGCTTGAGAAATATTTCTTGTATCTCATGTAAAGAGAATTGGTTTGGAAATAAATGTATGTGCACTGGTAATTGTCTTGATAGTAAATGTAATCCTCAGGGAATTTGTGAGATCTGTGCAGTTGGGTGGCATGGTGAGATTTGTCGTAATAATTGTCCCCAAAATTGTGTCGGTGGATGTCGTCGGGAAAATGGAAATTGTCTCAACTGTACATTAGGGTGGTACGGTGATAAGTGCAATCAGGCTTGCCCTAAAAACTGTGCAAACGGGTGTCATCGAGGAAATGGAACATGTTTAGACTGTAAAACAAGCTGGTTTGGTGATACATGTGCGTGCGTAGGATATTGCGATAAAAAAGGCTGTCTAGAAAATGGAATTTGTCGAAATTGTTCTCTTGGTCGTTATGGTAAAAAGTGCTTAAGTAATTGTTCTGAAAATTGCTCTGAAAGAAATTGCAAAAGGAACAGCGGAAACTGCCTTGAATGTAAGAAGGACTGGTATGGTGATAAATGTACATGCAAAGGGCCATGTGGAAAAACTGGTTGCGACGCTTCTGGTACATGTTTAGAGTGTGCTAAAGGATTATTTGGAAAACACTGCAGCGAAAACTGTTCTTCTCCTTTTTGTGCCGTTTGTGACAGAAACAGTGGTATCTGCCAAGAATGTGTTTCTGGACGATACGGTAAAGATTGCGAGAAACCGTGTCGTGAAAATTGCAAAAAATCCATATGCAAGAAAACAAGTGGACTTTGTGTAGACTGCATTTTAGGAAAATATGGGGAATTATGTGAAAAAAACTGTAGCTTAAACTGTCATGATGATTTTTCCTGCCGACGTAGTGATGGTCACTGCCACAATGGCTGTAAACTAGGCTACGAACCACCGATTTGTTCCTCTGCCCTTACCCAGACCAAAATGCAGACGATGATCATAATAACTGTTTCCGTGGTTGGGTTTATAACGTTGATTGTTATCCTTGCCATATGCTCCTGTTACGTTCGGTAAGTTAAACACTTTAAACGTATTTCTTTGTTTTGGAATCGGCTTAAAACAACAATGATTAAACTTCTGTTTAAAGAATCACTGTTGCATATCGAAATTATTGCGAAATATTTTAAAAGAGCTTCGATATACTTTGTTTTGACTGTAGAAGAAAGAAAGAAAACAGCAAGGAGATAATTATCAAGATGTCTAGGACCAATGCCCCATTGTCTACAAATCCACTTCTTGGAAACATTGTCAAAAAACCCGAACAGATGATGTATTCGAACGGTACCTACAATGTGACACAACCACTGAATATAACAGGTATTTTATATTGATCTTAATCCTAAAATACCTGTACATCCTTTTGTATTTGAAACGTTTTTCTTGAAGCACTGATTTATTCACTTTCAATGATATATGAGGGAAATTTGTAACGTAGGAAAAACTTAGCCCAGATCCAAACAGAATGCCGATAACACCAAGTTGAATTTTTTGTAACATTTTTAAAATCATTAAATACAAATAATATTGAAAATGTAATAATTCCGAAATTTCCGAAATTAATATAACATATGTTAATTTTTTCTGTATTTCAGATCGTTATGTTTTAGAAGACTAGTCAACATGGTATTTTTTCTGCATTATAAATCCAGCTTCTGATCTTGACGATTCAATGAGTAATACTCATAGATAGTACTTATAAAGGTCTAAGTACGAGTGTACATGGATGACTATAATGTGTTCTCAGTTAAAGTTTTCGGAGATACTGTGAAAGTGGAACGTCTCATTAGAAAATCCGTATGATAAGATATACGATGATAAAATGTGTTCATTTTTGAGTGCCATGGAGCTGATAATGAAAAAAACTACTTTAGACACTTCCCGTTTTTGTAATCTTTCTTTTATTTGTTGTTTTTTCGTTATTGAATCATTACAGTCATTTATCATGCCTAGATTCTACTGAGTACTTAACAAATCTAAGTGTCTATTTCCGAATTTTATAAATGCGTGTGAATCACCAAAAAAAAAGAGGATGAGAGAGAGAGAGAGAGAGAGAGAGAGAGAGAGAGAGAGTTTTATTTATAATTTTGTACATGTACAGTCCTTGCATCGTAATATTTATTGTGACAAAGTATGAATATTTTTTTTTTAAAATAGCTTTATTTTGTATGTGTAAGTTCTCAATCAATATACATGTAATTTGGTTCAAAACATCACTACTACTAGTCATCTATGCTTATTTTGTAAGCTCATTGCGTTTATAATTTTGTACATTTGATTCAAAGTACCGAAGGGATTTTTCTTGACCCATGATTGTTTTTTTGATTTAAAGAAAAAAATTTTACAGCAAAGTATTACTGCAAATTAATGTAATTTTAACTGTTAAGAAAGTTCGCTTTTCTCACGTTTGACTGCAGATTGCTTTTACTAATTTGTCGTTTGAATGTGTGTGTGTTTTTTTTATTTTTCTTCTTTGCCATCATCAAACGATCAAACTACAATGCTTGATTTGATTTTTCTTTACAACAAGACTAATAGTATTTTTTTTTTATTCGTTTAAATATTATTTTGTATATACTTTGTTATTTGCATTGTGATATTTTTTTTGCCTGTGTATGAATACTCCTTTTCAGATACCTTTAAGATGCTATTGTAACAATGAAAAGAGCAGTCGTTTAAATCCAATAAATGCTTCAAAATCCCTATTCATGTCCTATAATCTGCGTTTTTGAATTGTAAACACGAGAGAGAATAGTTGTAGAGTGGCAGCAGACAGGAAAAACAATGTTGACACGATGTTAAAAATAAACACACTATCAGCCTGAGTTTTAGCTGAGGACAATAAACAAGGAAATTAATATGTTTATGTCTTTGACTTCAAAAACAATAAAAAAAAAAAAGAATACTGAGACTTCTAGATTTGCCGCGATTACCCAGTTTCTGAAAATTCATGTACCGGTATTTATTCACAGATAAAGATATTACTTTATTGAATTTATTTTTTCTATTAGCTCAACTGAGTTAAAAGCTCAATTGAGTTTCTTGGGTCCCCGAGTTGAAAGCTCAATTGAGTTTCTTGGGGCCCCGAGTTAAAAAGCTCAATTGAGTTTCTTGGGGCCCAACCCTACCCCCGTGGGTCATGCTGTTTCCTGTTTGTTTTTGCGTAAATTTTATCTAAGTAATGTTTTTGCACATTTCATAAAATAGAATGCATTGCTTGTAGATGTGACAAGTAAATGATCTTCAAAAAGATATTCTTTACTAACTTTACAGACACATCATCGTTGAAGAATGTTGGGGAACACTAGTTTTCATTCAATACAGACATTTTTGATTAAACAGAGAAGAGTTGGAATGGTCAAAAGATTAAAATTCGACTTCATTAAAATGTTCTGGAATTTTTAAAGGAAGTTAGCTTTTCTGTTAACAGATGTTGATGTCAATTATAAAATTCAATCGATTAAATAACAAATCTAAAGATAGCTAGACTTTTATGTTACTCGGATCATTATCCATGACACTCATGAGTATAAACAGTTTTTAAGTGTACATGTTTAATTAAATTTAAGGAATAATATCTTTTTACAATTTCAATTTAAGACATGCACTACAAAAGTTAAAAATACCATATAAGTGGAAATATTAGCGAGATGTAATTTAATTATTCATCCCCGAAAATTGGCATATATAACGACAGAGAATTTTAGCCATTTTATTTCAAAGAGAGATAAATGTAACAACAGACAACTGAATAAAATCTAAGTGATATTTAATTTTAGCGATCTCAGAACTTTCGCTAATTATGCCAAAATTGAATCTTCGCTTAGAATTTGACTACTATGGTATCATGAAACATATAGAGATAACGAACAGTATTCAAAAGCAGAAGTCCACAAAACAATACAAAAAAGGAGCAGAGCAAACATGGACCTCAAAAAGATAAGAGGTGGAATCAGGTGCCATAGAGGAGTGAGCATCTCCTGCCGACCGGTCACACCAAGCGTATGCTTTTTGTTATGATCCGGAAATAACGGAAAAAATCATTTGTCAATCACTTGTCAATTCAGTGTATAAATAATGAACTAACAAAAAAACGTCAATCAGCATTTGTCTCAATGATAAATCGTATTTGCTGACAAGGTCATTGTATCGACCATAGAATTTACAAAATGATAACTATAAATGGTACTGCTAAAATTCTTGTTTCATCAACTTGATTGTCAATAATTTACCTCATTTTAGAAATTGTTCATACGCAGAGCATGCTCTTGCGTATCGAATCAACTGAAATATATAAACTCCGTATGCAGGTGATGAATGTATATTGCTGCACAAGTAAGGGAAGTTGACCAAAGGAAAGTAAAAGTCATCACATTTATTATAGAGCTTTGTTGTTAGATTACCATTAACATCTTTTTCAAGTAAAATATCCAAATATGAAACAGATGTGACAGATTCTGTGGTATCTGTTATCTCAAGCTTACAGGGATATAACGTATCGACATAAGAATGGAAATTACCATTGTTAATTGACAATACGTCGTCCATATATCTAAATGTCGAGTTGAAGGCCACAGCAAGTGTTTTCTTCTTTTCACGCATAAGATCTTGCACAAATTCTGCTTTATGTGAGTACACATTGAGTCAATATAATTTGATACCTGCCATATTTTCCTAAAAATGTTCAAAGTAGTAATGAAAAGAAAAAAAAAGGAAAACATTTTAATAGACACTGAAAAAGAAGGAGGTACAATTCTACAAGGACTACTAGTATCTAATTTTATACTCTAAGACAAATAATTTCGGTTCCCAGAATCATGATTTCATGAGATTTTTCAAATTCATGTATAATAGAATATATTCTCTTTAAAAAATTTTTATAGACAAGCAAAAGTTAAATAGATGAACTAGCTATTTTTCCGAGCTTAAAATTTATCTTGATAAATTCATTGATCCCCCATTCCCAATCAAAATAAATCCAATTGCCGTCTCCTTTTTGTCTTTAAAAGTACTGAACAGAAAATTTTGATTTATATTACATTCAAACTTTTCCGAAATTGAGAATTATTTTTATTCTGGATCAATCAGTAACAAAGTGTTTTCGAGTGAAACTAAGTTGTGACTGTAGCCTATATTGTATCTCTCTACGTATAAGCCTATATAAATCTCTATCCCTCTATCACTGAAAATGAAGTTCAAAATTAAACTTTAATCCAGTGTTTTCTTAGGTGCTCATGTCGAATTGTACCTACCGAGTCCATAGTTTATTATCAAATTGCTCTTACAGACGAGAACTGGAGGTATTGTGAGCATTGAGCTTGCTAATTGATACCCCCGCCTCCCATATGATTATAATGGCAAAGACCAGTTTTTGCTCTGGGAGACCCGAAATAAGTATCAGATCAAAAAGTTAAAAACCTTTAGGATATGCACAAAGGCAATATGTTATAAAGAATCTGTGAAGTATAATTAAATTTTGTTCAATGGTATAAAAGGAGTTACGGATAAGAGATAAGTACTCCAAAGTGTAGCAGACGGACGTACAGACAGACGGACATCCCATCACTATATAACCCTTGCTTTTTTCAAGCGGGAAATACATGTATTATGACGTTATCTTAATATTTCTAATTTGCCAGTTTATGCTCTTGTGGATATCACTAATGTTAAATTTCACATCCATTTGGAAAATGCATGCAAATACTAGTGATGAAGTCAACTACTTTCACCAGTTGAATATATTAAAGTGTATAATATCAAGAATACTTAAATGTAAATTTCCAGATCCATTATTCTTTTTCTTCCTTTTTTAAAAACTTTTCTTTACATCTAATGAGAGATCACTCTAACTTCATAAGACTACTATGATATTTCAAACTTTTAAATTTATAAGCATTTACAGCTTACTTTAAAGCTGTATAAATATCTATTGAATTGTTAAATATACAACCCTAAGGCTCATTATAATGTCCTTTCGGTAAAATCCCCCCCTTTTTTCCAAATACAACATTTCTCCTTTACATTTTGTTCTATAGTAGAGTCTAGTGAGATTGTAACATTGGATAATGAATCAGTAAAATTTGATTGTGAAAGTTAAAACTTAACCCCCAATAAAATATTGGTTTCGGTACTTTTCTAAATTCCAGTTATATTTTTTTCTCTCTCCACCCCCCTCCCTCCCCTGTCAAATAAAGAGGAGAATTGCATTTTAATACCCTTTTTAAAAAGCTTACGTTTATTTATTGATACTTAGTTTTAATTTTGTCTCACAGTTTCCGTTATCAAATTTCTTCACATGTGGTTTTTAGCAGTTAAGAATGACCCCCTTCCCCGATTTAAATAGTGCACTGTAGTAAGTACAATAACATTTTATTTTCAAACATGAAACTCTTGAATTCGAAGAAATTGTTAAAAATACACTTGTCTTTTAAGTAAAAATTAAAAGGATGTTTAATACTACAGATACTGTCCATTTTATTCTTAAAAGAATTACTAAGGAAAAATAATGAAAATTTTAATTTTTTAACGTAAAGATTTTTATAAATGTAAGAACTCGGCAAAGTGCTTTTGAGTCAAAGAAGTAGTTCTGGTCTGACGTGTAACAAACTCGCATGTAACAGATTTGTCTCATGATTTGTATGTTTTTAAAGTACATACTAACTGCAACCCGTTTTAAATGCAAACCTCATTTTATATTCATATTAAGCAGCAAAATTTATACAAAAACGTATATGTGATCAATAAATACACTTGTTGAGCCCTTCAACTCAACATTTATATATATCGGCGACATATTACTAATTAAAAAAAGATACTTCCGACTCGATAAGTCGACTCGATATATCCTAGTCAACATGAAATAAAAGATATCACAGAGTATGACACATCTGTTTCTTATCTGGATATTTTACCAGAAAAAAACATTTATGGTTATTCAAAAAAAAAAAAAAAAAAAAAGAAAAAAAAAAAAGAAAGAAAAAATAATGAAAAAACAGGAAGACTTGAATTTTACTATCGTCTACTTCCCCTACTTATGTTATAGATACCCTTATCACCTGCATATAGAATTTATGTTTTCCCGTAGATTTGATACACAACAGCATCTTCATACGAATAATTTAAAAACGAAGCAATGTGGAACCACATTCTAGCATATCGTTGATCTCCTAACTTCCATCTTGCCAGGCGTCTATTAGACATAGCCTGTCATATTAGACCTAATCTGGAGGGATTTGTCAGGTAATGCGTCCACCATTACGACTTATTGACAAACAATTTGATGAATCAAGGATATCAGCGGTCTCGTTTAAAGTAATCATTTTGCAAGTCCCTTAGTCAACACAATGGCATTGTCAAGAGGAACAAAATAGCATTAAGTCAAATGCCGACTGACGTTTTGGGTACCAGTTGTTAGACCATTATTTACACGATACACACTTAGTCTGAATTTCCTTAGATTTTATTTTTATCCTTTCCATATCATGACAAGGATCACACGCCGGGTGTGACCGGTCAACAGGGGATACCTGCTCCTTCATTGCACCTGATTCCATCTCTGATGTATGAGATTCTTGTTTGCTCTACTCTCGATCTGCATTGTTGCAATGTTATAAAACGGCTTGCATTGAATTCTTATTTGTTTAATTTAAAAATCATAATGGGACACAAACATGACACGCTATAAATATCATACACTATAAACATCATTTCTACTTAAAAATATGAATATGTAATAGTTAATTTGCTGCAGAAATTCATCTAAACCATAATTAGTATTGCATTAAATCTAATAATTCTATTTAAGAACATCATTTTATATGATTTTCACCCTCTGTAGGAGATTTTTTTCTCAGACAATAACTCATTGCACAATGTACATTTATCTTGATCTAGTTAAAAAGGAAAGCAAACAAGCAATAACTTTAAAAACTGGCCTGACTAATTAAACAATTACAAGGTAAAACAATCATTATCCTTAGAACGTATACGCGTGATAAATAAACATTCCTGTCCAATTTTTTGGGTGTATTCATATGAATTACATTTCGAAGAAATTAATATTACATGATTTATTTTTACTGAAAATTAAGTAAATAAGACACATAACGTATTTTTGTAATGTATGTTCCGTATTCGTATAACCTGCCACAGAGACTGCATGAGCTGCTTTTTTGCGCAAGGCAGGCGAGAACACTTGTATACGAACGAATAATTTCATTTATATAGTAAATGTTGATTTATATGAAACAGGGAGCCATATTTAATTTACTATAATAATACATGTGGTTCTGACCACTTATGTGGTAAGAGATTTTGTCATTTGACAAATGGTCGCTTTACATCGCTTACCATCAGATTAAATGAACAGAAATGAACTTTACTTTTGAGTTTTCTAGGGTTTAATTATGGGACTAAATGATTCTTTCGAGAATAAAATGAAATATGTGGAGATAATGAACTGTATTCGAGCACAAAAGTCCATTTAACATTACAAAATAGGAGCAGAGAAAACAGGGACTTCCAAAACATCAGAGATGTGATCAGGTGCCTTGGAATAGTAAACCTCCCCTGCCGATCGGTCACACCTGCTGTGTGCTCCTTGTCATGATCGGAAAATAACGGAAAATCCGTGCACAACGCAGTGTGTAAATAATGGCCCAACAATCAGTATAAATTTAGGTCAGTCAGCATTTGACTTAATGATAAATTGTATTTGCTTACAAGGTCATTGTGTCGACCATATAACTTACTAAATGATGACTTTAAACGAGACTGCTGATATTCTTTCTTCGTCAACTTGTTTGTCAATAACTTACCTCGTTTTAGAAATTGTACATCTGTAGAACATGCTCTTCCGTATCGAATCAACTGAGAGATATAAACTCCGTATGCATGTGATAAAGGTTTATTGCTGCATAAGAAAGGAAAGTTGACGATTGAAAAGTTAAAATCATCATAAAGGTTTTTTGTTAGATAACCATCAACGTCTTTTTATAGTAACAGATCGAAATATGAAACAGGCGTATAAGACTCTGTGGTATCTTTTATTTCATATCTTGTCGATATAAGAGTGGAAATAACTATTGCATTGTTAATTGACAATACGTCGTCGTTATATTTAAACGAAAATACTTGTACCTGGCAATAAAATGATACAAAATATACATGTATACTAAAGTTTACGAAAGATACATAAAAAGTTTTGTATAGGAAAATTTCTTTAATTTTTCTACGATCGAAACTTTAAAGGAATGACTTAAGGACAGATGATAGAAACAAACCTTTGTCATAAAAATTAAATATAACGATCTGAGTCATGTTTCAGTGAGTAAAATGATTAAGTTTAACAAGTAGTTTTTAATTTTTCTTTCAAAGTTTCACAAAAGTGGAATTTGAAGCGAAAATATTTGTATAGGTTATGAAGGATGGCTGCAGAAAGGTAGAATTTTGAACATCATAATTTCTTTATATTTTGGAAATTTATTAGTTGCATAATTTGCAACATAAATAGACCCAGAATTCAGACATCAATTTTTTGGCTTGTATCATCTGTACTTAATCCAATTCTTACCGCCTATAGTAGGACAAATAAAAGTTTCTGTTCCAAAGTAATCTCTTTGAAACAGGCCAGGAAATAAATAAAACAGTAAAACATCCTGCAATCAATATTGATTGTTTTAATAATTAAGTTAGTCGATTATTTAGGTTTTATCCATTGAAGGAAGCAGTGTGTACCGAGGGAAACATGAAGTGTCAGTTTAATTGTTTAGTCAGGAAATATATGATGGGGAAAACAATCGACTTCTTTGATTAAAAAAGAAGTTTTGAAATATGCATAGCTTATAGCATTCCAATCCATTGTTGTATTGTTTTTACTTGTTGTTTATATATTATACCCGATATCATATGTGTATCAAAATTAAAATTCACTTAATTTACTTGACAAATATATCGTGTCTTCTATTGTGAAACTGTCTAAAATGATATTTTCATTAACTAAAATGCTGAAAATGTAACACGAGAAAGTAAAAATCGCCTATTAATTAACTAAGATAATGTTGATATTACATTTAGGAATATCATGAAGCCGCACCTTTATAAGATAAATCACAGCTGATGATAACGGGGGCTGACATAACACCGGGGTGACACGCAGTATAATGACTGAGCTCGTCAGTATCATATCGGTTCAAATTCATTATTGACTTTTCTACAAATGGTTATTTTATTTTACTTCATTAAGAACTGTAACTCATAAAAATAAAAGAGCATATAGCAAATTCAGCAATGTCATTGTATCTCCGTATCGCTAACAGGGAGGAATCCAAATCAGTCTAGAGCATCAGGATGAACAACAGCAATGTGACCATCCCGACTATTACAGATGAGGAATGGTATAGAGAAGTGCTGGAATTCATTACACCGGAACCCCAACACTGGATTTTGATTGGACTCTTTGTGGTTATTTTCCTGTTAGGGATAGGTGGTAATCTGTTGGTTTGCCTAGCAGTGTGGAAAAACCGGAATCTTAGGACCCTGACCAATGTCCACCTCGTCAATCTGGCCGTGGCCGACTTTCTGGTAGTTGCTATTTGCCTTCCCCCGACTCTCCTACATGACGCCATGGAATCTTGGTTTTTGGGGACAGTAGGATGTAAGGTTGTTACCTATTTTCAGGTAAGGTCATTTTTCTCTTTTGATCCGGAAGAGTTTATCTTTCTCTTTCTTTTCGTGCCGTAATATCTTACAGAAAGGACATATGTCTCCTAAGAAAATCTGACTCTTTTCATTCTGGAACATTAAAAGTAAGGACATCAGTTTCATCATGTAACATTTTTAAAAATTTTTTCAAAATTGACTGAAATACATATCTAGCCAAAAAAAAGTTTTTATTAACAAACAAGGTAAATTATTTTATTTTTAAATTAATTCCTCATGACCGAGACCATAATGTGAAAAATCTTAATTTTCAAAGAAAATGTGAAAAACACCAATATCAGTCTACACGCTAAAAATATTGATTTCTATATTTAAAAATGAGGGGAAAATTTCTGTAATCTTTTAGTTAAGGAGTAGAAATTTCTAGTTGTCTTTAGCCAAAGGGCATGCACATTAGAAGAATTTTATTTATGTTTTAGTTTTAATTATGTGATTATTGCTATTTGTTTTGAATGTTCAACATCGGTGCAAGTAAGACTCTTTAATAGTTTTATAAAATGAAGGCTAGAGTCTGTATTTTAAAATAAACTAAATGACAATAATAATTTTTTGTATAGGTTTTATTTACACAATAAAATGCTTTCTTTAGTTGTTAGTACAGGGATTAACGGTGCAGCTGTTGCAGAAAAATACATAACCCATGTAAGCGGGTTATGTAAATTTGTGCTGCAACAGCTACGACGTTGATTCCCATGCTAACAACCATTTTATTGTTTATATTTATATCTATATAAATATTCACTTAATGCAGGATTAAAAAGATTAATTACTATATCATAAATACAAATGTCATAGTACGTTTCATTGATGGAACAGCCACATATCAAGAAATATTTAGGTGACACACGTGATATGTCTAGTGTTGATCATGAACTGATAAACGGCAATGGATTTCTTGAGAAATAAAGGGGAAATATTTAATGGATGTAAATATAGTCAAGTATTATGTATGTCAATATTGCATTATAAAAAATACCCATGCTCTAGGTATTTCTTCCATTCTTACTATGGCGACTCCATATTTCCCGGTGAGCTTAAAATAAAAAAAACAAACAACAGATTCTTACACATCTGTTTCATATTTGGATATTTTACTTGAAGAGGACGTTAATGACAATCTTACAACCACGTTTTATGATAAACGTAATGACTGTAACTTTTCAATCGTCAACTTCCCTTGCAGCAATATATCTTCATCAACTACAAACGGAATTTGTATCTCTCAGTTGATTCGATACACAAGAGCTCTATGTGTGTACAATTTCTGAAAACAAGACAAGTTATTGAGAAGCAAGTCAAGTCTGCAAATACAATCTATCAAAAAGTCAAATTCTGACTGACAATTTTCATACTTATTGTTAAACCATTATTTGAATATGGAATCGTCGACGGATTTTTTCGTCATTTCCTGATTAGGACTAGTAGAATACGGCGGATGTGAGCGGTCGGAAAACGATGCTTACTCCTACATGGTACCTGATCCCACCTCTAATGTTTAAGGTGTCATTGTTTGCTCTGCTCCTGATTTGTATTATATAACTGACATTTGAGCTTGAATATTGTTCGTTATCTCCATATATTTCATTTGGAGGCATGAGTAAAACATAAAAATGTTTACATAAACAGTATAAAGCCTTAAAAAATGTTTGTACATATAAATAGATATTCATATATATTACAGGGTATACAAGAATTAAAAAATAATCGTTTAACAGTTTAACATGAAAAACAATCTTTTTCTTCGAGCTAGCGCTCTTATACTGATCAAAGTCAACTATAATGGTTTTAATAAAATGCAATGAATATTGTTCTGGTGATAGTTGAGATTCCTTTGAGATTTCGCAAATGAATGGTATAAAAACAGAAACTATAGAAAACGAATTATAATCTCACCAGAAAAATATAGTGAATTCTGTTACAGATTGAAGTAATGCACATAAATATGTGGGAGGTTTCAGGTTAAAAAAAATACATTTGCAGCCTCTGGAGGAAATAAAGTTACAATACTATAATTCTGAAATGACACTATGACACAGCTCATAAAGAAATACATTAAAACCTGTCTTATCCTAACACGACTGCTTCCATAGATATTGCCTGAGTACAAAACCGTTGAAACAATTCAAATAATGAAAGGGATTGAAGGTTTAAACGTCGATGGGCTTTGGAATACACAATATCAAATTAGACAAGTTTTACTGTATGATAAATACATGCATTAAGCAGTCATTAAAAAAAAACTATGATTTTGTTTTAAATGTGTTCATAAATATCATTTATTTCCATGAAATTAACGGTATTCACAAAACGCCCATTCGGTCCACTATTTCAGAAAGTATCGGTGTTGGTGTCTGTTTTAACCCTTACCATCATTGGCGTGGAGAGGTATCTTGGGATTTGCCGTCCAATGTCAGATTTCCTTCCTCGGATCAAGGCGAGAGTTGCTCTTCTGATAATATGGATTGTTGCTCTAGTAACTGCTGTCCCGGATTTATACTACATGACGGTCATACCTGACGATGTTATTCCAAAAACTGTCAACTTACTGAAGAGCTGTCGCCCGATGGATGGCAAGGCGGAAGTGATGCAGCAATTAATGATCTTTGTCGTATTCTTCATCGTTCCTTTTGCAGTCATGGGTTTTGCTTACACCAACATAATTATCTGCCTTTGGCATAGTACACAAAACTTATCTAACATTAGTAAGTGTACAAATGTACGAAACATTAATTTCAGTTTAAATAAAAGGGCAAATTAGATACCTGATACTGAATTCATTATAAACAATCTTGTTGAATCCCAGACACCAATGATTACAGAATTTTTGGCTAAGACAATAAATAATTAAAGTTACTAAAGGTTTTTAACCATTGTAAAAAGTTTACATTATACAAAATATCAAATGTATATACGTTAAATACTATTTATGGAAAACTAGGTTTATCTTTATCTGTTACAGATCCGTTTACTTTAACTTGTATATCATTGCTTTATTTTAAATTAATAAAAAAACAGTCTTATATCCTATTTTATTTCAGATGCGGAGCATGGATCCAGTGTCGTCATTCAGAACCGTAAGACCACAGCTAAAATGTTGATTGTGGTGGTGGTGGCATTCTTTGGTTGCAACCTTCCCGTTTATATCTTGAACATTTTAAGGTATAACTCCATGATTCAGTTGACGAAAGGTCTGGATATATCTGGATGCCAGAACTTGGAAGTACAACATTACTCAAAGCAACTTGCCATTAAAAAATTTTTTATGTAGCCCATCTGTCATTAAAAAGAAAGAAGTCACATGGATCACATCTAGCATTCATATAACTGCAACGGCCCGTTAGAGTGGTATATTAATTCCTCGGCACAGATATTATATTTAAAAAAAAAAACGTAAAGCAATGCAGATACCAAAAAAAAAAAAAAAAAATTTTTAACATTTTGAAGTATAAAAAGACAGATATGTAAAATTATATTTTTCATAATGAAAAAAAAACCACCTCGCTGTTTCATGCATTGAATTTCAGTAGTCCTATTTTCACAACATTTCACCTCGGTGTTGTTATTGATTTTCTGAAGAGCAGAAAATCAACATTTCTGAAGAGCAGAAAATCAACATTTCTGAAGAGCAGAAAATCAACATTTCTGAAGAGCAGAAAATCAACATTTCTGAAGAGCAGAAAATCAGTGTTTCACACTTCTAAAAGATCAGTTATAATATATAAAATCAAAAATCGAAACCTAAATAAAAGGCTCAACATACAAATTAATGTTATTTTGTTGATCACATTCTTATGATTCTTTTGTAGGTATTTTAAAGTTCTGAACTCCATGGAACATGCAGAAATTAAGTCCTTTTCTTTGACCTCTCATCTACTGTTATATCTCAGCTCAGCAATCAATCCAATCATTTATACCGTAATGAGCGGTAAGACATTTATTATTTCATTCTTTTCAATGCTTCAAAATTATTTTGTGTTGCAAACATTTTGCTTAAAAATTTATAACTACATTGTATTTTTAATTTTTATATAGTTTAGATAGCAGTTATCAGGGTTAGATCTTAAAATCGTATTTAAAAACATGATATATTTCGTTAAGTTTGCCTCAAAATTGAATACTTGTCGAAAAGTCTCATTTTCTTTAGGAAAATTTCGATCGACATTCCGCAAAATGATCTGCATCGATGGCACCATCTGCAAATGTTTTACAAAGGACAATATTAGATGTAAGTATGACAATGTAAACTGTGCTAGCTAGAATAAAATGAAGTTATACAATTTTTTTAAAAACACTTCAGGGAATTCATACGCAATTTTGGTATAAATATTAAAATAAAATATTATATGTCCATAAGACCGTTGATATGGAATAGTTATTGTTTATTAAATTATTCCATGTTAATTATTTCAGCAAATTCACAGACAACCGAGAGGTAAGTTTACTCAGAATTTGTTCATGATCTATATCTATATCTAGTTGTATTTAAGATTTTTTATTTGTTTGTTCCACGTCCTTTGGGCATCTTTTTCATTCACATTGATTTTCCACTTCTTGCCGATGAAGCTAGGAATGCAAATTTAGATCTCTGCTCTGACTGCAATTAACATGACACATGATCCCACCTCTGATGTTTTGGAGGTCCGTGTTTGCTCTGCTCCAAATTTGTTTAGTGTAATTGACTTTTGAACTTGAAAACTATTCGTTATTCTTCTGCTTTTGGTTATAAAAATAGTTACTCTGAACATGCTTTTAAGTGTAGAAAACCACATGCAGAAGATTTTGGAATATTAATAAAATGATTTTAAAAAAAAAAGATTGAAAAGTTGCTAATTGGCCATGAACGTCAATACTGACCTTAACATCCAAGTATAAAACAGACGTAGGAGATTCAGCAGATGATGATTGAGATTTTAAAAGAAACTGACTCCATGCAATTCTTCTAGCAATTGATACTGACACTTTTAATTTTAAATGCTGTTTAGTAACAAAAATGATAATAAAGAGTTCAATGATACATATTTTATTGTTTAAGAATAAGTATAGAGCATAGGATTTGTTTAGGGTAATGTTTAAAGATCAAGGCTTTCGTTAATGAAAAATGTGTGGTTCAAATACAAGGGAATTCATGCTTGAAATCCGAATTTCTCCTACCAGTGATTTAATTAATCAAAGAAGTTCAATTCTGCAAGCAATCACTAAATTCTTTCAAAGTCTGACCATTTTCATGATTTATTTCGACGGTTGTGCGAGCGGACAGTAAAATCAATAAAATGGGGGTAAAATATCAAGCTAATTCGACCGATATGCAATACATGAACTACAATGCCTTTAATGTTAAAATGTTACACTGTATCAGCAATTAATTAAATCCTTATTATAAATAAATCCTTTATCAGTGGTTTTTTTTAAATGTTAAATGAATTACATAGGTTCTTATTTTAGGCACGCAACAAGGATGTAACCTTTGCTGTGTCCAAATAAAAATGGAATTTGTAATTTACTTACCTTTTCATTGGTAATTTGCAAAAAAGATTGTTAAAACATTCCTTCTTATCAAAAAAGTACTCTGAAGTTGATATTAAAGAGTGTCTGATTGACTACATCTATGTAGTTTTTGGATACAAAGACTTCCAACAATCAGTCGTATATACCATGGTTATCAATTGCGCCTCAATATTAGCAGACCATTTTTTGTACATATATGATGCAGAATTTATTCAAAATTTTATACATGAGAAGAAACACCTGTTGATGCTTTCGAATTCAATTCGACAAAATAGATAAACCGACGATATATTATCAATAAACAATAAATGTACCTTCATCCATTTTTTGACTCAATATATCCCAGTTAGCTTGAAAAAAAAATACCACAGAGTCTGGCCCATCTATTTCATGTTTGGATACTTGATTTTTAGAAGAAAAAATCTTAAATGGTTACAAATAATAGACCAAGCTTTATAATAAATTAGATGACTTTGAATTTTCAATCTTCAACTTGCCTTGTGTAGTAAATATACCAATATCTCCTGTATATGGGATGTATTCGACATGCAAGTACATACAGTATTGTCTATGTACAAACAATTTTTAAGCGATGCAATCTATTGCAAAGCAAGTTGATGAAACAAGAATATCAACAGTTACAACGTATCATGTAGTCAAATTCTGACTGATGTTTTATAAAATAATTGTTCGGCCATTATTTACAAACTGAATTATCTGCGGATTTTTCTGTTTTCCCCAATCATAACAAGGTACAGACGGGGATGTGACCGGTCGGCAGGAGATGCTTACTCCTCCATGGCACCTGATCCAACCTCCGAAGTTGCGGATGCCCGTATTTGTTTTGCTCCTAATTTGCATTGTTTGAACGGATTTATGAGCTTGAATACTGTTCGTTATCTACATATTTTATTTTACTTATTGTTAGATTTCTTACATCTCAATGAAAATTTTTTATGCCGAGATAACTGTAATTTTGTCAATCACATTCACGACTGTAATAATTTAGGAGTATATACAGATTACTATATCCAGTAGTATGGTATCAATAAGTCACTTTATTATTCAAATTAGATCTAATGACAGGTTGGGGGACATTAAAATTGAAATGCTAAAAAGATAACAATGTCTACTTGTTTATTCTTTCAGTGTTTAAATAGGAAAAGTCAGGCTAAAACACCTTTTCTTGATAAGAATATGGGCTTTTGTATTAACAGGATTAACCAAACCAGAAGAATTCAGATGTATACTTTTGATAGTGAGATCCCTTGGAGGCAATTAGCATGATTAGGATTAAACTAAATACATGTATCGTATTCTCGAAAATAGTTTTCTTCCTGCTAATACAAATATAAATAGATACTTTTTTAAAATTCAAAGTAAGATACCCTGATAGGAAGTTCGTGATGAATCTTGTATAGGCACCTTCTTTATGCGATTCTTCACTTTCTTCCAGTTTATTTAGCACCTAATTGACAATAAAAATAGCATTTCTTCTATAAATCCTTGTAACCTTTCTTTACATAATTAAATCCGGCTTAATATATCAAATAAAGATATGGGTTAATTGATTAAGAGAGGTTTAAATAATTAAGTCATTCTAAATCAAGATAAATGAACTAAAGTTAAAATCAAATAAGCTAAAGAATGTATTTCTTTCGAATTGTGACAATTTGAATGTTTATAAATTCAATGAAGCTTTATTTGAAGCATTTAATAAAGCTTAAAAATTGGAAGAAGGAGGTTATTTTTTAGAAAAGGAAAAAAAATCAATATATTTTTTTTAACTTTACTCTGTTGCTGATTTGAATAGTCCAAATTGATTACTCATATATCTAGGAACAATTCAATTTCATGATAATGGAAGAAATATAATACTCTCTCTAAGGAAAAGAAAATAATGAACAATGACAATATAATCGATTGAAAATAGAATTGAATTGAGGAAATAACGGATGTGCATATCCATTAATAAGGGTGGAATCTCAATTCAACCATCCTCATTGTTTGTCATAATGTAGTAAAGGTAAAATGTGAAATCAAGTATTGTTATGGTCTGAAAGTAAATCCAAAGGATTTCCATACTCTTGAATGAAATCTAAGAAAGCTATTTTGTAGTCTGTTGTAAAATTCAGAAGCAAGAAAATTAATTGTCCGGTAAGGAATTAAAAAAGTGACTAAATCAAGCAATATCTTTGTCTAAATTGAAACAAAAATTAGGTAAACGCAAAAACATGTGTATTCATTGTATATATAAAAGTCATAGTCATGTATATACAAAAGATAAAATAAATAGTAAAACTAGTCGAGTAATTTGTCATTCTCGCGTTTAAAAGTAGTCGATTATATAGAAGAAAAACAAAATGAAAATTATGCAAAAGATAAAATCGAAAATTTAGTGATTTACAGTAATCATAGTCTGATATGATAAAATAATCGTAGAACAAAGTGTATTATCGAAGTATCGGATGATTTCAAAAGTTTATCAAAAGTATATTTTTATAGTCTGGTTTGATGTCAAAGATATGCTTAGCCTGATACGACTTCCAAAATAAATACAATTATAAATCTTATGACTAATTATTTGTTTTTATTGCAAGTTTGTTACCTACAAACTAGCAATAATAATAATATATGAATTATATGGAGATAACAAATAGAATTCAAGCTCAAAAGTCCAATAAATAATGCAAAATGGGAGCAGAGCCAACACGGACCCCCAAAACATCAGACGTGGAATCAAGTGCCATGGAGGAGAAAACATCCCCTGCCGAGCGGTCACACTAGCCGTATGCCCCTTGTCATGATCGGGAAATACCGGAAAAATCCGTCGTCAAATCAGAGTGTAAATAATGAACTAACAATAAGTATGAAAAAAGTGAACATTTTACTCAATTATAAATTGTATTTGCTGACGAGGTCATTGTATCGACCATAGAACTTACGAAATGATGACTTTAAACGAGACTGTTGATATTCTTGTTTCATCAACTTATTTATCAATAATTTACCTCGTTTTAGAAATTGCACATTTACGTACAGCATGCTCTTGCGTATGAAATCAACTGAGAGATTATAAACTCCGCAGGTGATGAAGGTATATTGTTGCAGAAGTAAAGACGATTGAAAAGTTACGGTCATCACGTTAATCATAGAGCTTGGTTGTTATCTACCATTAATGTCTTTTTCAAGTAAAATATCCAAATATGAAACAGATGTCTCGGACTCTGTTTTATCTTTTATCGCAAGCTCACCAGGATCGTATCGACATTAGAATGAAAATACTATTGTTAATTGATAATACGTCATCAATATATTCAAATGCAGAGTTGAAGGCCACAGCAAGTGTTTTCTTCGTTTCATGTAAAAGATTTTGGACAAATTCTGCTCCATATGAATACAAAAATAGGTCTGCTAATAAATTAATGGGCCGAAATTGGTACCCATGGGATTTCCAATAGATTTTATAAGACCTAGTCTCCAAAAACCACATACACTGTAGATGTTGTCAATCAGAAACTCTTGAAAGCATCTTTTTATGTTAACTTCAGAGTACTTGTGTGTACAATCAGACTGTTTTTTCACAAAATAATTTTGCAAATGACCAGTGACAAGGTAAGTAAATTTACGAGTACCATTTTTATTGAAAAAGCAGTTTTCAATTATAACAAAGATCCTGGACTTTAATTTTTCGTGGGGAATGGTTGGGTATAAAGTTGAAAAGTCATAAGTTTTTAAGCTGTTGACTTTGGTAAAATATAGTGAATTCAAATTTTTCAAAAGTTCCCTGGAATTTTTAAGTATTAACATCTGATTTACACCACTTCTCGAATATATTGTTGCACAGTATGGAAGTTTCTCCTTCACTATTGTAAATATCTTAGTGAGGAGTAAAGAAAGAGGCTTGGATGAACATTTACTGAAACCCGCTATGTATCTTTGTTTGTATGGATTTTTATGAAGTTTCGGAATCAAATAGAGATACAGTAATTCAAAATCATTTTGGTTGTTTGGCTTATTAAAAATATTCAAAACTGACATATGCTTTTGAAGATTTTTTTCCTTATAAAGGGAACTATGAGTATAAGTTGGATTACCATTTGTAGAATTAAATCCAAGTTCTTCTAAAATACAATTTATATAGTGAGCCTTACAAACAAAGACAATGTTGTTACCCGTTTTGTCAGCAGGGACCATGCAGATCACTGATCATGTAATCTATGCAATTCTTTTTCCCCCTTTTTTAGTTCTGGATTATTGAATAAAGAAGGATATGTGGTTTTCATATTGTCCCTCAATCTTTTAATAATACATACAAATATCATAGATAAACACAAAATAATGACATAATATCGACATGTGTATATATTTTAGGCTGCTTTTAAAACAGCTAAATAATTGTTAACTGAAATTATTTCACGTTTAGTTCATAATTTTTAGTTATTTTTTTCAACAATTTGCATGCTGATGCATAAACAAAATTCTCTTTAGAAATCATTCGAAGTTTTTATTCAACTACTTTCTAGATAGCCCATAAATTCAGACAAGGCTTCTATGGTTAAACCTAGATCAAAAAACTTCAAATAAAAGATGTAGCCAACGAGAAATACTAGTCTTGTAATACTAAAGAACTTAGAAGGAATACTATTTAACGTCAATTTTATAATGTAATGAATTGTTGTTGTGATTGGCTCTGATATGAAAGAGAATTTTTTATATTCAATATAAAACATGTCTTAATTCACTGGAGAGATATTTATAAACCTAGAGGTAAAAAATGCAAATCAAAATTTTTCAAATTCGTACATAATTATTTAAAAAAAATTGTGTTACATGTATTTATTTTTATTTCCAAAAATTCTTTCAAAGCAAACTTTAAAAGAATTTTATTAGGTATTATTTACATAAGCAATGACGTCATATGTTTGAAATGACGTCACGAAAATGACGTAAATTTAAAATTTCCATGATTTCTACAGAAAAATGTATAATTATAATTGCAATGAATTTTTTGATATAATGTGTAGAATGATAACATCAATGGCAAACTTCTCTATAAATTTTAAAGCTAAAATTGTTGAAATTTTTCCTCTTTCTAAGAAATGATATAAAATCGGAGTAGTTTGTAACGTCATAAAAACAAAAATTATCAATAAATTACTTTGAAACTATAATATGTTCTGTTAATTTATATTTCTCATACAATTTATAGAATTCAGCACATTTCAGGAAATTTTCAAATTTTGACTTTTATGGGGGCAAAGGTATGCAGTATACCGCATATAGTTCTTTGTCTATTGCCTGTTCCACAACGAGTGTCTTTATTTGAATATAATATTAAAATAAACTAAAATAAAAAAAAATCTGATTCCCCCCGTGTAACTCATAACCTAAAAAAAAATCAAGTCTAATGTTGACTGAGAAATTTGAATGCCCTATTGATGCAACTGTAAATACCCAACGACCTCAATCATTTTGTTTCTTTCGCCATGGCAATATGATTTTGAGTCGTATTAGAATCAAAGCACATCAAAATCCGAATGTTAACTATTAAATTTAAGGAGAAACTGTCTGCACAGCAATTCATCAGAATACTTTAAGTCATTGAAACTTCTTGAATTTAATTCTATATCATGTAGCATACAACATTTGATACTTTTAGATGCTAAAACACTTTGCATCAAGATGACCTAAAAGGGTTTTGTATTTGTTGCAAATTTAAAAGTCAAAACGACCTATTTCTCTATCAATTATACTTTTTTCCCCATAAAACTGTTATCTACGTATATCTTTAATTTTTTTTTACTTAAAACATCTTTCTTAATTTTATCTAAAATAGAAACGAAGGACGATTGAGCTTGATTTTTGATTTATTATGAATAGAATTGGAAATATTTTTTGAAAACAAATTAGAGTATTTTTACTAATGTAAGGGTGATAGCTGACCTGAAGCAAAAGACAGTTTTTTGCTCAAGCGGGATCTTTTTCTTTTCAAATTCTCCGATTAATTTCTTTTGAGATGACAAACCAAAAGAAACAAAAACAATTTTATGAAAAACATCTTTAAGGAGTATCCATAAGGGAACTGTTCATTATCCAAATGATATTTTGTTTGTTTGTAAATAAATGCCATGGTCTGGCTCAGAACAAATATATTGTCAGTATCAGACGAGTTCAATGGACAGACTAATGACAATAAGTCCACTGAGAAATCATTTGTCCGGAGAAGTATTCTTATAAAGTATTTTGTCCCTGATTCCCACAGCAACACAATAAATTGATCCGGTATTATTGTCCAAAACATCTTTCCCCGCATCTTTATGATCTTACGAGTTGAATATTTTCTTCACTCTACTTTTCACTGAAATCATATACTGATTATAAGAGACAGACTACTCTTGGCATGGTTGTTTTCCACACAGTCTGGCACAGAGCTAAATTTAGTATAAAATGAACAATAATTCAACAGTCTGGCAAGTATCATACATTTAACACTGACTAGAGCTATTTAACCTTGTGTATACCTATTATTTAAAACTTGAAATTAAACTGATCATAAGCAAACCTCATCCATTCGTAGATTTTTAATTTGAAAAAAAAATTGCTGTTGGTACCCGAAATGAAATCATATGACAATGTGTGTTCACGAATGACAAACATCCAACTTGAATCCTAGACGACAACAGAAAAGAAAAATGATTTGTACTTTAAGTCTTATTCCCATTGAAAAGGTTTCTATTTTACTTTAACTTGTTTCTAGGTTAAAGTCATGATGCCAGCTCTGGCCTTTATAATGAAATTAAACTTGTATAATGTATATAAATATATTCAGACAGAAGTTATCCACCTTTTAAGTCACTTAACATAAATATCAAATTTTAAATTTTAATAGATGATTTATTTTCGGAGTGTATGACAAAAATCCATAGCTAGTCATCATTTAATTGAAGAACCTTTAAGAATGTCACATCAAAAAGACCATCGTACATAAAAACACACATTTATCATTAATTAATGACATATTGGACTAAAAGATGTCAGTTAAGATGTAATTTATCATTAACATGCCATTATCTAATTACAGTACCACCACAAAAAGTCCCCCAGAAGAACTATGTCTGATGACCAATGACACAACCAAGTTTCCGCAGGACGTGTGAAAAGGAGTACATTACAATGTATCTCATTAGAGTGGGATAGCTGGACTTAGAGTTCAAAGTAACGACCCAGTAAAACATTTCCAAGGAAAACTATAACTTAATGGAAAAATTTCTGCAAATTATAGATGTGACTGACTGGTGCTTTTTTTTTTTTTTTTTTTTTTAATTTCATCAAAATTTTTTTTAAAAAGAATGGAGCATTTTTAAATTCATCAAAATGCTTATTGTGCATTTCATACCATAGAAAAAACGTAAAAAGGCACATAAACTGGTTACCATATTGTTTAAACTAAACAAAAATTGAAAGCGCAGTGGAAATCTATGTGTCGATCATAATGTAAAGATCGAAGGGATCTATGTCTATACATGTATATGATCAAATTTCAGATGACAGCGTGTTATAAAACGAATTTATGTCAACCAATTGAAATTTACATGTATAAACAGAACGATGATATACTAATAACTGATATGTAAAGTATATATATGTGATACTATGTAAAACAGTAAATGTATATTTCATGGCTATTTTCTCTCAGAATATCAATAATTCCAAGGAATTTCGATAAATTATCAGCTTATTGAACTTAATAAAAATATGATTAGTTATAATTCATTAATAAGTAAGTATAATTATTGATTTAATAGCCCATTGCTTCACCTTGAAGTGAGCATTTTTCAAGCAAATCATAAACTACTCGACTGTCGTGCACTGGTTGACCAATTTATGCTATAATAATAATAATTATAATGTAAAATAGTTTCTGTAAATAATTTTGCTGGAAAGATATTTCAAATATTCAAGTGTTTCTAAGTTTGAAAGGAAAAGTTTAATAATCCTTTCATTGGTGTTTGAATAAAAGCTTGGGAGGTGTTTAAATGCATATTATATGTCTTTAGATATCTAATGTAATTGTAGATTGATCGTTTATTGAGGTAAAACCCGAACCTTAGGGCTATTAGTTTAAACTATAATAGTCATCAGAAACTTCAGTCAAAGGAAATTGTACTTTTTTTGTTTTGTTTCAAATCACTCTCAAAAAAAAAGCAGCAGGAGCATACAGTATAGACGACGTGTTAGATCAACCCTGAACACATTTCCGTGACTGATGTTGAAAAAAAGTCGGCGAAGTGGTCTTTACTTGCCATGTTAGGATTTTCAACTTAAGTTTTGGAGAGAAAAAAATGATGGTAGTTTTACCTCTTTTCTATGTTCCAATGAGTGTTGGTAATCTTTATGCCAAATATTAATTTTATTGCGGATAAGAGATATCTAAGTGTAAGAGAAATGTTAATTAATTCATAATACCCATTAAATATCGAAAATAGCTAAATGCACCGTTGATGGCCCGAGATATAAACTTGAAAAGCCTAACTCCTATGAAATAATGAATCAAAGTACATTAACAATTAAAAATTAAACAATTTAGTACAGAGATTAGATATTCTTCCCACTTCTGAAGTAAAACGAAAGCAGATAACCTAAAGGTACACTAAGATCAAACTTTAAATTTCACATTCTACGTTACATGTAACAATTTATGAAAGAGTGTTTTTAGAATTTCATTCATTATATTTTGTTGAAGTCACCAATATGAAAAAAACATCACGACTCTGTTTTCTAAAAAAAAAAGTTTGATTCTTTATAAACTCGTACTCATAATTATAACATTCCTACTTGACATCAAAATACTTTTACATGGAACGATACAGTGTATTAAGCATTTTCAAAAAATATATCTGGTGTGAAATCTTTTCAGTTAAATTGCTGTTACCTTGCAGACCATATACAATTTAAAACTTATATGAAAAAATAAAAAACATGCCAAATTATTTTCTAGCATTTTTCTGATTCAATAAATCTACAGATAAAATTCTTCAAAAGAGAACTTTTTTTTAAGGATATGAAACCAATTTTTTTTTTACCTTATACACAGATTGGATCAAAATGGGGGTTGGTAAACCATTATAAAAGCAGGTAGTTGTCCAATAATGCTAACTGCACGTATAATTAACAAACACCAAAAAAACCCAGCCAAAATCACTAGCAGAATGAGATACATGTACTTCTAATGGGATTGGTGTTCTTTAAAAATACCCTGTTTTTTAAACTCTAATATTATTCAACAAACGTCCCACTTAGTATACGTGTAATATAGTTTATTTTGCATATACCTTACTAGAGCTTGAGTTTAAGGGATGATATGGACCCTGCAGGGCTGATATGGATATATATCCATGCCGATTTAGAAAACTACGTAAATGTAACTTACATTTCATGATTTATTTCTGTTTGATAAAAAGCTTAAAATTTATCTAAAAAACCATCGTTTTATTTCAGTTTATTCCAAAATAGATTCTCTATGTAATCACATTGTGTTATAAGTCACAATCACCACTATAAAGACACGATTGCCTCAGAATATGAGTAGGTAACGTACATTTCAAACTGGTAATAACATGTAAGTAAATATTGAAAAAAAGGCATTTATTGACATAAAAATCATTTCAATGAAGCGTTTAACGCAGTAATATAAGAAATCATAATGTAACAAACGAGGTTATTTGTCATCAACTACATGAATGTCGCGTCACTTCGGTAACGTTCATTTCACATTTTATTGGAGAGTCCCCTCCACCTCAGTTCTACCATTCTTTGGTGCTGTTTTGCTGAAATAGACACCGTAGCCTAGTTACTTCTACCTGTGTGCAAGGGTACAGACAAAAACAAATAAGAGTAAGACATATTTTACTATGATCCAACAAATGCTCGTGTTTGGCCATTGAAACTTAACATAACTGATCAAAATCTACTCCGAATACATCCATCCACAGTCTAATTAACAATTTCATTTAGTATGCTGCAACATCGTTTGTCAAAACACAAACATACGTGCTTTTCAGCAGATCTGGAAAAATATAACCCAAAATGCAATGATTCAAGCAAAACTGATCATGAGTATTGTGTGCCTTTCAGTATTTGAAATGTACGTGACCGTCTTGTGTTTTGGGTTTATTTGTTTTGTTTCTTTTTTTTTGTTTGTTTGTTTGTTTTTTTGTTTTTGTTTTTTTTTTAACCAATCATAAGCCTATGCATACCTTGTTTTGAATTATCAACAACAATTAAATGAATATTGACGAAAAGTCGCATATTAAAGGTAAACAAACTGCAAAAAGGTTGCCAAAGATGAATTTAAGACACTTAGAAATAAATTTTCTAGCATGTGGTAACAGTCTACCACATTTACGAGGATTGGGGGTGCATTTAGATGGCTTTATGTGGTCAGTTGTCAAATGGATTTTAACGATAATTCTGTTTCGATCGTGTTAACAAAATTCATTGACTAAATTTAAAAAAAAATGTCAGTAAGAAATACGCAAAATGTACGTTACCATACGTAACGTACATTTCAAATATAAAAATCAATTCTCTTTCACAAGCGTACGTTAGACATACAATATATTGATACTATTTGAACTTGCATATCATGAGAAATGCACCATACAGGTTTCGTATTCAGAAATATGTATCAGGTATCAAAATTAGATTACATATAAATGACCTTAATATAAATTTTTTCCTCAGCAGAAACGTTTCTTTTCAATTAATTTTGGGATTTAGCCGACCTCCAACCGTTGAATCTTTCCTTTGTGTACACATTCGAGTGTGTGAAAGTATGAGAATACATGAAAATTTGTGCGAGATTCATTTAATTCGAATTTCATGGTAACGTACATTTCAGTCACGTACATTTCGAATGACCAGTTTTCATGTAAAAAAAAAATTTAATTGTGTTAAGCAAAACGTCTTTGCCAGTTTACAGGGTACAAGGGGTTGCTTACTCAGAGTCGTTTTATATTTTCTACTTAATATATATTCTTAATGGAAGAATATACTGTAACGTACATTTCTTTCTTATCTCTACGATTGAAAATGTCATTCATTCCGTAAAGATATTTATAAAAGTTGCTCAAATTGTTCAATTTTATGTTACATTATCTAAGTATAAGTAAATAATCCTTTGAAATTTCAAATTTAGCCCATCAATATATAAAGGAGAAAAAAGTATCAAGTGTATAATCTTTGCGTTTGCTTGTAATGTGATTGAAATAGAATTAAGCGACAGGGACATTGCACAATAAAAATGATTTATTATCACAAAGAAAATGTATTTATTGTTATGAAAAGAAATATATATGATACAAGGTTTAACTTATCAGACAATTTTTACTTGAGAATCAAAACTGCATATTACACAGAGGGGATTCAGCATAATATTTGCCTTGGCGACAGTAACGTACATTTCAAATACGGTTTTGGAACTCCTTAATACCCTTTCAGATCGATAATTATATGAATTCTTATTCATTGTTATATGACTATTTATAATGTTGATTTGATAATTACATCAGTGGTATTTCTTCTACATGAAAATGAGGCGACATTATTTGAGCCCTTATATTGAGAATGGGTGAAAGACATATATATATATATATATATATATATATATATATATATATATATATATATATATATATATATATATATATATATATATATCTTTGAAGGCAAGACATGAAAAAAATCACCCACTTTTTAATATTATCTGTAAAAATCTCGTTATTTTAAAGATTTCGTTTTTGGTTATAATAAATAAGTTACTGGTCATATAATCGTACTTGTTCATTAAGATGAATTGTATTATGTATGCTATTTCTAGGTATGTGAAATACATGGAGATAACGAACAGTACTCAAACTCAAAAGCCAATAAACAATACAACATTGGATCAGAGCAAACACGGACCTCCAATACATCATAGAGGGGTAAGCATCCCGTGCCGACCAGTCACACCCACCATGATCAGAAAATAGCGGAAAAATCCGTCGTCATTTCAGTGTGTAAATAATGGCCCAACACTTAGTAGACTTAATGATTAATTGTATTTGCTGGCAAGGTCATTGTGTCGACCATAGAACTTAGGAAATGATGCCTTTAAACAAGACTGTTATTCCTGTTTCATCAACTTGTTTGTCAAATAAAATTTACCTCGTTTTAGAAATTGTACATTTACATACAGTATGTTCTAGCGTATCGAATCAACTGAGAGATATTAATCCCGTATGCAGGTGATGAAGGTATATTGCTGCATAGGGAAGGGAATTTGAAGATTGGAAAGTTAAAGTCATCACGTTTATCATAAAGCTTGGTTGTTATTTACGTCTTTTACAAGTAAAATACCCAAATATGTAATAAACATCAAAATACATACGATTTACGATAATACATACTTTATCAATCCGAGACACTAATACTGGCCAAAGAGCCTTCGTCATTGGTGTTATATGAATTATTCTCTTGATAGTAATTACTTTAAAGTTCAATAAAGCTAGTATTTTACTTTATAACTTTTTTTTAGATTTCAGTTCTGGACAATAAAGTCAACACTTTATATAAATATATATAAATAAATAATTTATTAAGTACAAAGACAAACTAAAATGGATCAGAGGTCTATGTGCTCATCTACATTGTATTTCTAAACGATGGCGATCAAAGCGAGATGTGGATACCCTACAGTAGCACCAATATTGTCATCATACAAAAAATGGATCATGGTTTCATCAAATTAAAGTTCTTAAAAAATTGCAAATCGAAAAAAATATCAAATTTTATATTTATAAAGAGCAGAAAATACCTGATAGATACCATTTAAGACGGAATCCTGATTTTTTATACTTTGAATGAAAAGTCTGACGCCGGTCAGAAAAGTGTAAAAAAAATGTCTCTATTAACTTTAGGAAAACTATCGATCACAAACATTTGTCATTTCTAGCAATATTCTCAAATGAATTAATAATCTGATTCAATTTTATCAGGTTTTATCTTTCGTGGCCTTGAATGCTAGTACTTTGGAAAGGGAAAAATCAGAAATATATTCAGTACTGAAAAGTTTAAATGGAAAACTGGATTTGAGAGGAAATGATATGAACAACGTAATTCTACACTACCCGAGGACACTTCTATATTGACGTGACTGTTTTTGAGAATTTTTTAATGATTTTCCCTCTGAATACTAATGTATCACGTTGATCGCAATTTATGGTTGGTTATGGGTTATGTTTTTTTTTTTCATAATCGGTTATTGGTACAATTAGATGATTTGTTATTCTTTAATAATCGATTCATATCAAGTATTAAAATTGTTCATTATTAAATGAAGAATAAATTGGTAACTAATTCAGGAAGGTTTCTAAGATTGAAATTAAATTGATTTGAACAGACGTAACTATCTTAGGATAATTTACACGTTTTTTTTCATTTTCTAGTCCAGTGGTTCTTGAGTTGAATATTTTCAAGAAAAAAGTCTTTAGCTTTTAACTAATTCGTAATTATCTCCCCATGAAATAGACGTAGATCTTCATTTAAACAAACTTGAATCCTCTTTACCCAAGAATAGTTTTTGTTAAGTTTGATTGAAAATGGCCAAGCAGTTCTTAAGAAGAATTTAAAATGTGAACCGTTTGCAGACAGACGGACTGAAATATGAATGCCAGGCAAACTGTGATCAAAAAAGCTCTCTTGAGCCTTCCGCTCATACATACTAAAAATAAATTATAAATATAATATGTAAATAAATTCGAGATTCAAAAAATGAAAGACATTTATAACGTTGATGAAGTTATTTGTTCCACATGAATTTCAACTCCTCCGTCCAGTTTTTGTTTGAAGGACTAGCCCCGTAGGGCTGTTTATTGTAAAATCTGGAGAAGGCGTCACGAAGTTTCTTTTTCGTGTCTTTGTCGGGATGGGCGGTAAAGCGAACCCTGAAATATATAAAGTATGTTGTAAACGTCGAGTCCTACTAATTTCTTGCCTTCAGTGTAAAGCATTACTTTCTGAGAATATCATTCACTGAACAAAAATGATTAGAAATAAAAGTTTAGCAGCTTACTAATTGAAATATGATCACAATCATTTTACATTCCACCCTTAGAAATTACACACGATTTATCGGTCTGTTCATAAATGTGAAAAACGGCAACTACATTTACTAAAATATACTTAATTTAAAATAAGTCACTCCTTAGTCTTTCTATGTCTGCCCAAGTAAACACATCCTGATCTTGGTCGAATATAGTTTCAATATATATTTGGTCGGGTGTTATATTTCATGGCAACTAACTCTTTACCTTACATGTAATTATAAATACTTTAAATCTAAGGAGCGATTTATCGAGAAAAAAAATACACTGTACATAAAATGGTCATCAAAAACTTAAAATCAATGAATTTTAAACTTCTCTCCTTTGTTGCAAATCACACAAATATAAATCAAAGGGAGTATGTAGTATAGGGGGAATTGTTAGATTAAAACCGAGAACATTCATGTTAGTAAACAAGTAAGTGAACAGATGTTAATTTTGAACTCATATGTCGAGACGGGATTTTCAACAAAAGTTTTGGAGAAAAAAAATTGATGCCTCTTTGTTCCAATGAGCGTCGGTAATCTTTATGCCAAATACCAATTCTACAGCGACCTGGTGATATATGACTGCAAGAAAAATGGTCATTCATGATACCTAAGATTAAATATCGATAAATGCTGAATGCGCCGCTAGTGAGTATAGATATTACCCTGCAAAGCGCTTCTACATCTATAGGATAATGGATCTAGGTAAAAATACAATTCAAGTATAAACTTAGCAATTCAGTATAGATAAGAGAATTTTCTCTGACATAGAAGCAAAGAGAGTAAGCTAAAAGTACTTCATAAACCTCTACCCACATTCTACATAAAGAAAACTTAATGAAGAAAAGTTTTCGGAAATTAAATCACTTTTTCTCCCTTCAAGTGAGCAGCATTGAAAAAAAAATCATATTTGAGTTTTCTTTTCAAAAAGTTTTAAATTTGACCTTAGGACAACGCATAATCAAATATATATTCGTATGTTCAATTCTGATTCACCTCTATCCCAAGGGGCCTTAATTTAAACTTAAATCTTCACTTCCTAAGGATGTTTTCATATTAATACAACACAACATGACTCTGCTGTTCTTAAAAAAGTATTCTTAAAGATTTTTCCACATAAATTATATGAAAAACTTTGATACCGCATTGTATCCCCAATAAGCCCTTGGGGGCAATTAATTGAACACTATGTGAGGATATCTTTGCATAAATATGACTAAACAAAGCTTGGCTTTTCCTGAGAACTTTTTTTTTCATTTGTTGGATTTGTTACTAAGTAAAACTTTCATCTCCCACTTTGACTCGACCCAAGTACTAGAAGTCATTATTTAAACAAATATGAATCTATAATTCTAATAAAAGATACTTCCTAATCAATACCACTCATCATGATTTAGAGAAGGATATCATTGAAAACCTTTTCATATGTATTCCAATGGGGAAAAAAATGATTCTCCATCGTGCCCCCATCAAACAAACCAGGTTATGATTTCTGCACTACTTAAAAGTTTTATTTTTTCTGACCAAGTGCTTCTTGAGAAGACAATCCAATTTTCACTTATTCTTAAAATGTCTCCGTTTGAAAGAGAACCACGCTCTTCGTTTGAATCCTTCATAAAAACTACTTTCTGACAAGTCTACTTGAACTTTGACCAGTGGTTCTGGAAAAGAAGTCGAAAATGTAAGAAATTTTACAGATAGCAAACAAACGGACGAAGGACAAATGTGATATTTTCATATAAGTTCACTTTTTTACTCAGATGAGTTATAAAAGGTGAAGAAAATGAACACTGACCAATTACAAAAAGATTCTTTTACCAATACATATCTGTAAATCTATAAAATTCAGAATTTCAACGAATAAAAACAAATGATGCTATAATATTTTTTCGGGCATCTTCTTGTTTAAAGAAATCTACAGATGTAATTCTTGAACTGAAATGTTTGTTTGAAACATGAAACCAACTTTTTACCTTATAAACGATGTGGATGAAATGTGACTTGGGTCTATCATTTTCATGTAGCAGATAATACTTTTGTAATGCTAACAACATGTCTACATGTAGAACGACACAAACACAGAAAACTACCACCAAAGCAGACAAGGCTAGCTGGCTAGTGACATACTTCCCGATGGCATTGATGTTTTTATCAAGGATTCCTTGTTTTATTTCAATATCAATACCCGACATGCTTAGTGCCAAAGAGGGTACCCTGGGTTGGTTAAAAATAAGAAAAACAGTTGTTTGTGCAACCACAATGTGAAGTACATATACTCTTATTATGGTTAAATGTTAATCTCATCTACAAGCTTTTAATAAAACAAACTTTTTAGATAGTTGTTTAAAATAAGCTAAATGTTTAAAGGTTTCTGTGACCAATTTTGCACCTTTTAAAAATATATATGCTCTACCATATTACATGTATTTGCTCTTGTGACAATTAAGTGATGGGATGATAAAAAGTTACAGATAATTATTAATTAATTACTTGATTTACTCATTAGCCGTCACTTACCCTTCTCTCGTCTTGGTGTTGGTAGCGTTTGTCGTGTTTTGTTTTGGCTTGGCCTCCTCTCTGGATGTGGAAAGGGAGGAAACTGATGCAAAGTCATCCTTCAGGAAAATTACAAATATTATAACCAAGTAAAAAAAATCTGGAAAAACTTGAATATTTTCACTTGTTATATATATTGACAGTATTTTCTCAATCTTAACGAGATCAAGTGGCGTATCATATGGCAATAATGCTCACTAAAGTATGTTTATCTTTCTAAATAATATGTAAGTAAATTGAACTCATGATAATAAACCAACTCATGAAATTCCCTTATATGATTAAGATAAATATTGAATATTGTGAAAATCGAAGTCTACATTTTTTTTTAAAATGCCGGCTTTTTTTTTCAATATACATTTTTCAAACATTTTACATGTATGTACATTTTGTTTGATTATCAAAAGCTTATTATATCCCCCGCTTGAAAAGGGGGAGGGTATATAGTAATCGGTATGTCCGTCCGTCTGTTACGCTTATCCGCAACTCCTCTCATACCACTGAAGGAAATTTGGTGAAACTTTCACAGAATCTTTATTACATATTGCCATTGTGCAACGCCTATTTTACTTTTTAATCTGACATATATTTTGAATATTCCAGAGCAAAACATGGACACTGCCATTATATTCATATGGGAGGCGGGGGTATCATTTAGTGAGCTCATTGCTCACGGTACCTCTAGTTAGATATGAAATTTTGACTGAACCTGTTTTTATATATTTTTACTTTCTTGAGTCCAGGGGCCATTAACTCTCACTGTGGAAATAGTTGTACGTGTATATCAATTTGACTGCTCGGATCTTAAGAAAACGATTTTCCCATTAATGTTTTTAAGGATTTCCATCCCTAATAGGACCAAATTCAAGTTCAATATACCCTTCAATGTCCGTCAGGTTTATAATACTCTGATATTATATCAAAGCATTTTATAGTGCAAAAGGATTGCCCGCGAGAAAGTTTCAAAAATTTCATTAACTTAGCAGTAGTTAATTAACAAAGATTTCATTGAAGTCTATGGGGAAAAGCGTTTTTTGCTCGGATCTTAAGAAAAACGATTTTCCCATTAATGTTTTTAAGGATTTCCATCCCTAATAGGACCAAATTCTCACCCTTAAATGTCCCTAAATAAAAATTCAAATAATTTGAATATCAGGAAATACTATGGTGGAAAGATGCATTGAAACATTAAAAATAGGATGACAATTGAAAACATTTTTTTTTACCGGCTAAAATTTTTTTAAATTGATTTTTTTTATTAATCAAAAAAGGGGGGATAATTCTTACTAAAATTCAAGGTCATAAATTAGGACACATCCCACTATACATGCTTATAGTAATAAATATGAATTGTGTCTAAATATACCAATGCCTACATATCTGTTGTGTATTCAATTTTATTGAATTTGTTCCCATTAGGGATTGAATACCTTAAATTTCAAACTTCCAAGTTCCATCTTAGTCCTTGCCTGCCGACCACGATTTGTGTAAATTTGTCATGATATTTTCATAACATTTTCTTTCTAATCCAGCGGTTCGTTAGAAGAAGGAAAAATTCACTATTTAAAAATTATTAACTATAAATTAAAGACAGTACATGTCACAATTTAGGTCATCTTTTACATCCAAGGAAGCTTTGTGTCAAGTCTGATTCAATGTAATTTTTAAATAGAATAAATGCAAAGTTTGCGAAGAAATATGATTTTAGATAAGATGTGCTCACAAATGCCCCTTGCTCACGTTGAGTTGAAACCCCTTTTTCATGTTGACTTACTAGGCTTATTCTGGGTGGTGTATTGTATTGACCTTTTCCACCTTTATCTGACGTTGATTTGATGGTTGTCGATGAATCTAAACTTGTCGTCGAGTTTGAATTTCGGAAAGTGGGTGTTACCATTCCCTTTGTAATAGAAAATTAACAGTAATCTTTGGATATATTCTGATAAATGGAATCATTTTTTTATAATTACAATAGACAAAGTTTTATAATCCAATAATTACCTTGCTTTGCTTGTTCATTATATAATCTAGACCCGCTTGCTGTACTTCATCGTACGATTTGCGAACAGATAAAATTGTGTCCAATGAGTCCGGCATGGATTGTGAAATTTGAGCATTTTGTTTTGATTTAGAAGCGTTTCCTTTGCGAAGACTTCTATCAACAGCCGGTAACAAGTCTCCAATCGGCATGCAAACACTCGTGTGAGCCCTATACAAGTCTAAATTAGGCGTCCTCAATTTTCTTGCAGACTCAATTTTGCTTTTCTTGCCATTAGATGATGGATTACTTTCTCTTTGCTGTTTTTTCGATGACGGCCTTTGCTGTGGCAAATGTGCAAATTTAAACTCAGGGCTAGTGCAATACACCGGGTACTGTGCTCTATCACTTTGATTCTGAGCAAAAGAATTTTGTCTCACTATAGTTTTATGGGGCTCATAGAAAGATTTCTTTTCAGTTTGACTGTTTGGTTGTTCACTAGAAGATGCTTTATCTTCCTGTGCGTTTTGGATCGAAATTTTTCTGAGGACAATGGCTGGTTTTAAGTCCTCAATAGCACAAAACGTACTACTCTCATAATGACCAATACTAGTATGAGACCTATTTAACATTTTCCTAACCGTGGATTTATCTCTCTCTTCTATGTATCCATTTTTGTACAACCTAACGTCACGTTCACTATTCTTTCGAGCTTTCTCGTCCTCTGACTCTTCAAAAAGAGATGTTGCCTTTGGTATTTGATGCGTATATGAGAATTTTGCAAACTTCCTCTCCGCATTTCCGTCACTGTCCAATGGTTTTTCTAGAAAACGTCGCCCTGAAAAACCATCAAACAAGCTTGTTACGTCTTTGTCCTCAGCACTCGGGGTTTTCGATCCATAACCCTCGTCCTCCTCATCTAAGACCCCGTCATCGTTTGATCCATATTTCCGCGCGTAATACAACAAACGACGGAAAGATGGGGCATTCTCAGGTCGTTCTGGCATGTAAGGGACCGGAACACTTTTGCTTCGTTTTATAATATTTTCATCTTTTCTTTCCACCTCTTTTTCAATAACTCGGCTAAGAACATCAATGTCATCTTTTGCTTTTGTTTCTTGAAAGTTTTCCTCTGGCACTTCACCAATTCTCTGTTGAAAAGTATTGGTTGAGCGTACATTGGTGAGTGTAAGTGTAGTTTTTGACCGCCTTATGGGTTTAACTATCGTCTGCTCCGACAAAGACTTCTCTTTTATGAAGAGTCTGGCGTGAAGACTATGTCTTTCGAACTCTGTCGAGTTTTCCAGAGCTGAACACCGGTAGTTTGGTACATGTCTGTAAGTTAAGTCTTCTGTTGATATTTTTGACTTCTTTCGGTCTGAAAATATGAAATTATAAATTTTTGTTTGCCTTTAAGATAACAACAAAGATACCGACGGCCATTCCATCTGTCCATTTTTGTTTGTTTATACCTGTGTTTCCCATTGAAAATGTTTTAACATGAAACATAATTATCCTTGTGACTCCTTATGCATCCTGTAAATGGGTTAGTAGCTTCGTTTTTTCACATAATCTGACCAAAGTCTGCGATTGGCTCTATTACATACAGTAATATATATTTATTTTTAGTTATAACAACAGTTTCCTTTGCCAAACTCCAAAAACAAGCTCTACACTTACCTTTCTTTGAGTGTAGGGCAGTTTGTAAACTTGTCCAAGCCACGATATCTGAAATTCCAGTAAAAAAATTACATTTAAGCCAATACAATATTTTATTTACTGAATTGACAAAGAAATACGTACATGTATATGCGCTTACCAAGAGATTCATTTTCATACGGTAGATCCCATCCATTCAGTCGCTGAAACTTTGGAGTTTTCCTGTAAAGATGAAAATGCTGTGATATTTTAATTTCTATTCTATGCTATTTTATGTTTTACTCTATAATATATTTTTTTTATTTTTACGCCGTGAATGAATTGAAACAATCAGTGGTTAGTTACAAATTCCAGAGAAACGAATGTTAAACAGAAATACTGGTAATAGTCGATATTCAAAAACCATCCAATCAAAAGGTTTTGCCGTTAAAAAAACCAAATGCAAATTAAAAAAAACTACTCCCACAAACCACACAACAGAAATCTTCAGAAACAAATAAAAACTTAACGTTCCTATAAATAACTTTTATGGTTGTGTAACCTCTGCACACAAATTGACTTTCATTAGGAATTTTACTAAATTGGCAAAAAACACTCACTGTCCGCATTGCCTGCAAGAGCCTTTATTCCGTGTGTCAGATATTTTATTCTTACTGCCAGAGATTTTTAGGGACACAGAAATGTGTTCTACAATTATTCGTTTTAAAACCAAATCCTCACACCAAATTAAAAGCATAGAGATAAAATAACAATGTTTTTCAATTAAAGAATCGCGTGATGCTTTGTAATTCGTGTCACGAACTTTCAAATTAGAGTTTATATCTTATCTGATTATTTCATTGAACTGTTATTTTTGAAAGAAAAAAATTGCATTGAGTTTTTAAAGTCATTATCTAGGCCGTATGCTAATCCACGAGACAAAAACTGTTTCCCTTGCCTAATTTTCATGAAGCGTTGGATGAGAAGCAATATACACAACCTTCTAGAGTGTGCATTTCCTATTAAAGCACATCACCAAAGCAGCACTAATTTCCAGAACACTGGTACAGACTTGTCACGTGATCTCCACAAAAATACTCACGGTTGATCCCTTTGCCTAGCTGAGAGCATTCCTCTAATTACTGTGGCTATTTGCACAATGAAAAATTTATTTAGCAAGAAAGTATATCAATAACTACATAAAAAAAAAATAATATTCGATGGATTTTTTTTTTTCACCATAATAATTGCCTGAATGACCATGATTAAATGAAACATTCACATCTTTGAATATTCGTGCAGCTTACAGGTTTTTGTTTTGTTCATCAGAAACTCGGGCACCATTGAAATAACTGTGAAAAATTTTAAGTTACCAATCTTCTTTAGAGAAAAAAATTATTTTCACATGGGAGTTGGTTGTGGGTGAAAAATAGCAAAATATATTTTACAGCAAATAAGATTAATCCTGTACGAAAAATTTACTTTAATACTGGTAGGAGTTTTGAGGTAAATGTTGACCATGCACAATCCTGTAATTATCGCCTTAGAGTACAGTATTTAACAATTTTTGAGTGAAGTGGAGTGAAATTCTGACAAACATTATGTACTAAAACATATTAAATTGGCTCCATGAATCATTCCTAAACAAATAATATTTTCGAATGGTCAACCCTCGTGGTTAGAAAACGTGTTCAAGTTGCCGAGATACATTATTAGTTTACGTATGTTGAAAAGTAATCGTTGGATTTTCACTAATCTTCACACATTAAGTTCCGAAAACATCTTACAGAGGGTTAGAGGTGATTGATGTTCCATCTGATTTTACACTTATCTTCAAAAGAAGGCAAATAACTCTACAGAAGATTTGTACACATAGGTTGTCATAAATCGTATACAGGTAACTGATCGTTCACTTTGCAGTTACCATGTACATAATATCAAACTTCTTTCCCATTTCTCTCTTTTTACCACATTTATCCTAAAGAAAAATAAAATAATTTTTGGGTATCAAAACTTTGCTTGTTATTTTTACATAAATATATATAGTTGAACCAAAAGAAGAAAAGTCGCCCAAATAACCCGGTGTGATCAGCAATTAAAATGAACAAGTGTTGGTTTCTAATCTACAATTGTCTGTCTGTCCAACAGCAAACAACATTATCGATTTTACTGTATAAACTTAAGGACAATTAATCATTTTCGTCAAATTCTCTTCTCTCGAGTTATTATTCCAGAGATTTATCTAAATGAGTGAACAAACATTGCCGACTTTAAGAGCCTTCTTAAGAGGCTTGTTCAGGTGTATACTGAGGGGTCTGAAGGCCTCTCAACAGAACCTCAGTTTGAAGTAATCTATACAGAATCCACATAGGGCATGTTAAGCTTCTGTTTTGTACATGTACACATTTCTATATCCTTCGTCTAGATATATAGTTTGATGTATATACGAGTACAACAAGTGGCAAAGGTCCAATTCCTCTCAACGGGCCATTTCACGTTAAAATAAGAAAACACTTGTCTCTGAAATAATTTGAAGTCATTTCGTTACATTCATTGAAAAATTTATTATTTTGGATTTGATTTAAAGACTGTCCAAATCCTCAGTGATATTGAACTTACAAGATCAGCACCGTGCCAAAATCTTAACAATGTATGTTGTTATTCAATGCACACAACATCGTGTTCGCACATTCCCCTCGCACAATTGTGTTAAAATATTCGTAAATAAAGGATCTTGTTCATAAATAATTCTCAAACATATACGAATAAAAAAGCCACTGGGTAGATGGTTCCATTAAAGAATATCTAATTAAATACCGTTGTATTTTTATTTCATTTCTACATGTAGGTTAAAGCCTAAGACATTTAATGATACGCTTGAAAGAACAAATACTTCATCTGTAATACTTCTGCATTACAAAATGTGACACCTTTTTTTTTTAAAAAATCAAATATGATTAAAAATTGTTCCCTACCTTTTTCTTCGCATCTCATTGTTGAAAGCAAGAAGCCAAGCAACAATATTATTTAATCACATCCGATAAGCAAGGATTTAATGAAATGTTTAAAGGTATGACAATACATGAAATGTCTTAGAAGATATTTGAGAGCAAACATTGTAATTCATCATTATCTTCTCACGTCTACAGATAAAGATAGCCACTTACCGAACAAGAGCTAGAGGTCTCTCTCTCCTTCCTAACACCCGTCTGTCAAGGGACTGGCGGGCCATAATTTAAAGAGCATCTCGTTCATATCGGAGATAAAAATCGTCTCTCATACAGGGACTAACAATGGAATTTTAACTACGAAGTGATAGAAACACAATTCCTCTTTGTCAAAGAGACCTTGTCTATTGTTTCACACTCAATACACAAATCAAAAATCAAATCCATCGATATAAATTAAAGTCAATTCACACGGTTTCATCTTTCCTTGGGAAATACTTGTTTTCCATCTTTATCCTTTTGGTGGCATGTTGAAGTTCTAGAACAAGATGCAGGGTCAAGTATAAAAGTCTCTCAAGACGATTACTGAAATCAATCCGTGTACATTTCAATCGGCCTTTAAACCATAATGACCGCTGCTTAAAAAATAAGTGTTTAATACACCAATACAACGAACGCTGGTTTGACCGTAGAACTTTTCAATTGTTCTGAACTTTATTTTTATTAAACTCGTATTCTTTTAACTCTGATTCATATGCAGTCGTTTTTAAACCCCATACGTGTGACAAGTTTTAATATTTCGTGCATATGTATGTGTTTTAAAGTTACGTTAATCTCGTGTACATTTCGGTGCGATGCTAACGTAAATAAAACCTTGGATTGATCACCATACAAAACAAAGGTTAAATATATTTGAAGGAATATTGGGCATTTCCCAAATCTAAACCATTTAACTCCTGTAATTTCTCGGGGGGAAATTACAAATCCATTGTAAAAGGAAAACCGATTTACTCAGAGAAGAAAATCAATTAAAATATCCCGCCAGGAACAAGACATTCTTCTTTCACACGTTTCGTTTCGGTGTATTGGAAAACACACCCTTAATTATTTGTATTCTATATAAAGACTCAGACGCTTGAAAAAGTTGAATATAATTACTCGTGGCCCATATCATTGTATAATAAAGATTAAAATATTTAATGTAAATCTACAAAGGCGGTCGATCCGACCTGGTCATTGGGTTACTAGAGGGACTTAAAATCGTAAGGTTCGCAAATGGCGATGTCCTGTGTATCAACTTTAAACCTTGCTTCACACACTCGTCATAGTGATTTGTTGGAGAAAAAAATAACCCAAACTCCTAATGATCTATTTTCTATCTTATACATATATTATATCTACACTAGCTGAGGATGCTTCCACACTTTTTGACCAATATATAAATGATGGTTTTCATGTTTTATCCTCTTTATTGTGACCCTGTCCGCTTAGAGTAGTACAATTTGAACAAAGTATCTTTTCCAAATTACACGTATCCCCCTTGGAAGACGAAGTGATCCTTCACTTGAATAAACTTGAATCCCTTTCATTCAAGGATACTCTGTGCCAGTTGCTGCTCCATTGTTAACGTTCTTAGTGTCGTTGGAAAGGTCTTGAAGAGCCCTTTACGCTGATGTCATGAACTTGTCGTTCTAAATAGCAGAAAATAGAACAACAATTGACCCAGTGGTTTTATAGATGAAGATGACATTGTATAAAATTGACGACTGACTGATTGATCGATTTTTGTTGGTTTTTGCCGAATTAGGAATATTTCAGCCGTATTTCAGGGATGTCAATTTCAATATTGTGAGACGGTTTTGGAAGTATTCAGAGTTTCTCAGGGCCTACTCATAAAAAAAGATGTTCAACGTTACATACTTTTGTTCAGTTTATACCGTTGTACGCCATATCTCCAAGCTAGCTGCAGAACTGTAGCTCTCCGAAAATATATTGACAGACCGATCTGTCAATATATATTTTTATGCGCCCGGATCGAATGATCCGAGGCGTATATTGTTTTTGTCCTGTCTGTCTGTCTGTTTGTCTGTTTGTCTGCAAACTTTAACCTTCGCCATAACTTTTGAACCATGAATGTTAGAGACTTTATATTTGGTATGCCTACTCCACTAATAAAGCTCTTTCAAATGACACCAATTGTAAGGTCAATGACCTTGTGACCTTGACTGTGACCTGTAGGCTAAAAATAGAGGATTTTTTGCAAACTTTAACTTTTGAACTATAAATGATAGAGACTTCATATTTGGTATACATACAACACTTATTAAGCTCTTTTAAAAGACACCATGGTCAATGACCTTGTGACATTGACTGTGGCCTATACGCTAAATATAGCTTTTTTGACGGCAAACGTTAACCTTCGCCATAACTTTTGAACGAAGAAAGATAGAGACTTAATATTTGGCATGCATACTCCACTAATGAAGCCCTTTCACATGACACCAAGGTCAATGACCTTGACTGTGTCATATGCTAAAAATAGCTTTTTTGAACTTTCACCATAACTTTTGAACCATGAAAGATAGAGATTTCATATTTGGTATGCATACTTCACTAATCAAGATCTTTCAAATGACACCAAGATCAATGACCTTGTGACCTTCACTGTGACCTTTACGCTTAAAATATGTTTTTTTTTAAATTTGTTGCCGCCGGGCGCATAGTGTTTCACAAACACATCTTGTTTTTCGGAGAGCTTCAGTTCTGCAGCTACACATCTCCAAGCAACACCAATAAGGCAAGTAGTATTTTTTTATACCAATCTCTCCGACTGGCTCAAACGTGATCAGAATAAAGTATATAACAGTTTATAGACTTCTTTTATACTACATAACATAAGATTTATTTACTGAAAGTACTCCAAAGAATTCTGTCAGTCGCTCAATATCTATACTGAGCATGCTGGAGAAAGAAATACCGCATAACTTATAAATACCTTGCACTCCTGCTCAATAACACGTAAAAATAAAAAATAACAAATTCAATATACGTTCAATCTTTATTTAAGTTTAGACTTTTCCAGTGTAGTGGTGATATTTCATGTAGTCCGAGTAAAGCACATTAAACACAGCTTTCACTCCTTGATTCAGCACCATGTGTAACTGAGAAATCACGTGATTGTCACATATGTCCAGAATAGCATATATTGCTGGCAGCAAAGCACGCTACAGAATAAAATTCAATATTTCTTGAATATTATGTTTTATCAAAAAAAATAAATAAATAAAATGAAATTTGTCTTTTTTTAAAGAAAATCTTCAACGTACATGAATATAATAATATGAAATTGTCTGCTTTCCTTATTAGATATCTATACAAACTTTTTATTTGATCTCCTTTTAAAACAAAATATTAATGTACGTTTGTGAATCATTGATGCCTCATTATTTGACAGCTTATGGTCCTTTTTTTTAAGAAGTAGATTCTAATTCTCTCTCTCCTAACTCTTTCATCCCCATTTCAGCAAAACTAGCCTTTGCTAGTCACAGGTAATTGAGTATCTTGAAATACTACATTGAATATGATCGGTTTTAAAAGAATTGTACTTAATTAGATTCATTTTTTGCTTTCTAATTTCTAAAGAAATTGGCGTCATTTAATTATGTAACAATCGCTGATATTTTGGAGTTGGCAGTTAAATGACAGGTCCATTTCTTCTGAAAACAGAGAGTTGCTTATTGTGCGAACAAGTGACTTTCGTAGTTGAGAATACTGGACAGATTTTCAAACTGAACAAATTCTTCAACTCTGTCTTAAATTTTCTAACATGCTTAATTCGAATGCCTTCAGAACGTCTATGAACAGTTCGATCAAAACACGTGTTGAAATGCTGCAATAACTTCAATAACACGATAAATTGATACAACTTACGTACATATTTTTTGGAATACGTGTCTGAGTTTTACACAAAGAGACTCCAACTCTTAACTGCACAAAATCTTCATTTCATTAAATCATATTGCTTAGAGGTTGCTACAGAGCATGGAATAATGTACAATAAACAATACTAGATAAGAAAAACTCAAATGTGGCATACACACAAAAAAATACTACTTCAAAGCGAACATATAAAACCGTCGTCTTAAAAATACCCCAAAATAAAATTTCAATTGTAATTTTACACTGCACCATAGCATTATCTTTGTTGTTAAACTTCATCAAAACTTACTATAATATAGTGTTTTAATGCCCCCCCCCCCCCCCTGGGATATTTAGCGGAATAGTCGACGTCGTTAGTCTGTTTGTCCGCAAAACCTTTTACCTTGCCCGTACGTTTTCATTGGTTGGAGCTATATAATTCATATTTCTTATTATTTACAGTTGGTACTAGGATTTTTAATTAGATTCAAATAATTTTGACCTTTAAGGTTGACTTTCTTTTTTATAAAAAATTTAGCCTTTGCCAGCTAGAACATTTCAACAGCTGGTGCTAAGACTTTTATACAGTACTTTGCATGTGTATTTCTTATGACAAGGTCTTCCCCGTGTATCATCAATGTTGACACCTATACCTTGGAATTTGACCAACTTTAAACAAAACCCATTAATCTTGAATGGTTGGTGATCAGGCTTTCATATTTACCAGGTACAAGTACTGGTAAATCCATTGACACAAGTCCTTTCTGTAGGTAACATTTTTTATCTCTTGACCTTTGAGTTTGACCGCATTTCGAGAGACTGTAACCTTTGCCATAAGCTGCTACAATGTGACTTCAGTGTTTCACAAACAAAAATTATTTTTTTTAGTCAAATCCCACATAGCAAAGTATTCAAACAATTCACTGACCATGGAATTTGACTTATTTAAATAATTACTTAAAGAATGGTCATAATTTCTGAACAATTGGTGCAACTGCTTTCAGAATTGTGTAACCTTTCATTTAAAACAACCATTTTTGACTTCCATGGCCTTCACCTTGGAATTTGCCATACTCTTGATAACTGACTCTCAACAATGATCATAAGCTGTCAATCTGGGGCATCAGTCTTTCATAAAAACATCTTGTTTGTTAACTATTATCAAATATTCATTAATTTATATTATTGACAAAGCACACCTATATTGTAATCAATAGGAATTTTTGTTTACAGTTTCACTTCAGAATCTTTTATAATTATAGTTTGTAAATACCATAATAGATGGGCATCAATTTTAAAGTGTGAACTGTATGTTTACATATACTTAATTTTATAAAAGCATCTAAAGATATCTGCATCAATCAACATTCAATATAGTGATATTACAGTTCAGCAGGATACAAGGTTAAAGTTGTCCACCCTGCCAAAAATGTACTAACCTCTTTCACAAGTTCATTTTAGCAATAATGTGAATGGGGCCAGTTCACTATATATTCAATGATGAATTCTACCTATTCGCTTTTTAAACTTTGCAACCAGTTTTAGTTGATTTTAGAGCGTTTTATCAAATATCTGAATTGTAATTTATTGAAAATTTTTACATGTCCAGTCGATTATATATATTTTTCTTACCTTGACAGCTGGATGTAGTGTTACTTTTTGAACCTCTGATACAAAATTAGATACCAAATAAACTGCCACCTTGGAGAAATCGAGCTTATGAGAAGCTATGAGAACATACAACCTGTAAAATATAAAAACAATAAAAACACACACTACAGACTCAGGTGAGCTATAATGTATACAATAAAACTCGATTAATATAATTAAGTCACTGGAAACTATGAAATTACTTCGCTATATACCTTATTCCTTGTATCCATATAGTTAACTCATTCAATTTATACAGCTGGGGATCCAAGATAACTTTGCTATTATATATCTTTGAATTCGCAATATCTGTGTTTGTACTAAACAAGTTTGACTATATCAACTAAGACATAGATGGCTGTTGACATATACAGCGCTATGACAAAAGTATTCACAGTTGACATATACTTAAGCATTGAATTTTCATTTTTTGAAAGATGCAGTCTCATAACAGCAATGGTGTGTGCAAACAAATTGAGTGACATGCATTAGCGCGTTATGAAAATTTGTTTGCATACACCATTGCAGTTATGAGACTGCATCTTTCAAAAAATGATAATTCAATGTAGAATTACGTTTACTGTCTTACTTGTTAAGGTTATGTGCACAATTCCTGGCCTCCATTACAGTATTTGACTCCATCAACATTTCTTGGTTTCCCATTGCTATGACAAACTTCATCAAACGTTTCATGTTAAGGAAAATTGTACAACATATCAATAATAAATAGCATACCTGTTACACCTGCTTCCTTCTGACAATCAACTAGAAAATCTGGATATCATTGAAAAAGTCTGTGATCTTTATGTTTACTTTCTTTCAAAATCAGTTCTTTACATAGTCAAAATATTGTTTCCATGGTTATTTATTATACATGCAGTTGTCTGTCATAACATATCAAAAAGAGCCTTTTTACTTACTATGTTCATCACAGAAAGTTTAGGAAACAATCAAAGTTTATTTACTGTTTGAGTTGACTTTTTGGTTTCAAAATTTTCAAGAAAAAGTGACATTGTAGCAAAAGTAATAAACATTTAATAGTTACCTTTTCATCAACAATCATTTAAAGTCAATTGCTTCTTGCAAATATAGAAAAAGCAACCATTAATGTTCCTTTCCAAAATCACAAAAATAGAAAAATGAACAACTATCTTTTAACACAGTTTTTCTTGTCTTCAAAAGGATATGGTTAGCACAGCTGATAAAGGTTGATATGACCTTGAAGACTGAGTCTGTATGGTGTACTATCAAGGAAGTCAACACTACACATACAGCATGGAATGCTGGGTAATGAGATGAGGTGCATAATGGGATATATGTACAACTCTGTAGGGCCAAAGTAGCACACTGAGGAGACATCAAAGACTGCAAAACAAACACAATGAAATGTTTTCATATATATGTCAACAGAAAATATACACAGAATCTATTTACATGAAAAAATCAGTAATTATTTAAACAAGTTTTAATCAGGATCAATTTTTTTTGCATGCAATTTTAAGAAATTTACTTTGAATAGTCTGAAAGTTTTGAAAAACTCAATTTTATTGCTAAAAGAAAAGGATATTATAAAAGAGCTAGTATTAGTCACTTAAATTGATATAATTCCTAATAAGCGCCTTTATTAAATTGAGAATTACATCATCTACAGTCAAAGGGACCAAAGAATATATTTCTATTCTACCTTCAACATGCATCTGAAGTACATGAAAATGTCATAACTACATGTACATGTTGGACCTATTTCTATCTGATGTCTCACATTAATTCTTTATTATTGTTTTTGTAAATCCCCCTTCCCCTATGACAGTGTTTTAGAAGGACACAAACTGTGCATTTTTGTTATATTTCTTATCTTAAATGGCATAAGACAGTTGTCTTAAGTAAAATCAAAGTACTGAAGCCAGACTTTATTACTGTATAATGGGTATTTTCTGTGGTTATCCAATTTTTGCTTTAAGTAAAGCACGACTAAAAATATAATTATACAATTGTCCAAGTAAATGAAGAAACCTGGTTATTTGATGCAAATGACAGACAGCTAGATGGACTACATGTGATATTATAAAATCTATTTCTATATGTATTTATTCGTTTTTATTTATTTTTTCATATGGTTTAAGAAATATAACGTTAAAATTTGATTAACTAAAAGTTCGATTGCGCATCTGGATTGAGTTGCTTGAGTAAAGTTTTATTCTATGATTTCACTGGCTCTTTCATTTGCTTGGTTATATCCTATTTTTTCATCCAATAATACATTTTCATTATAAGTATAAATTACCCCACTTTACCTATTATGTCAGAGCAGTAATACGTTTTCAAGAAAGAAGTATATTTATAATCCAGTGTCCATCATATGCATCTTACGGTATGTAACTTATATATTTAATTATATGTTTCCTTACCATATAAACATTTGATTTACGTTATTATTTTGATTGCAAACCTTTTACTTTATTGTATTTTTGCATTCAAAGTTGTAACTGAAATAGTAATGAGTCTGTAAGATGTCAATTTGAACTGTTTACAGTACACATTTTTTCATAGAGTTCATTTTTTCTTAAACGTTTGCTGTAGGTAAATTATTTCATGTGTTATTTTAACATTTTCTGTAATTTTGACTTATTATATGCTTTGTTTATTTTAGATCAATGCCTTTATTTTCTGAATAAATGATGAAAACATAACATCTGCCTTACAGCTCGGTTACATACAGACAAAATGTGACCACATATTAAATCTCACTTGAGCTTCCACCTCAGGTGAGCTAAAAATAATCATATTTTCAAATGTAGCAAATTCTGAGGTTTCAATATTTAGCTTAAGGTCAAGATCTAGTAAATAACTTTAGACTAATTTTTTGGTGCTAGATCTATTATGACGTCATAATCAATTTCAACTTTCTTTTTCCCGTACTTTACGACTTAAGCAGAATTATGTAGAAAATATGGTATTTTCATGACATTCAATTTGAAATCATATGAAAAGTAAACCGGAGACCTATATTAAATTTGATATTGATTTAAAGAAGAGGCCATGAACATACTAATTACCGTTTTCTGAGAGACTGTAGGCAATCTGGATACATTTCCTTTGTCGAATATGAAAAAAACTCCCAAATTCATGACTGGTTTTCTTAATTTTTCATTGAAAATGACAGTTTAAAATACAGTTTTTCATCATGTTTACCTACAAATTATGCCCCGAAACACCTTATTTGACCAAGCTAAAGTTGTAAAGCATCAATAAAGGAATTTATTTCTCAAGTTTGATAAATATGTAGGTACCTTTCATTTACTAGACCTTGACCTTAAAGCAATATGTGCTGCATGTTTGACATCTGAAAAAAATGTTGCAAATTTGTAATTACAGTCCCTGAAACGTTCTACTTTCCCACCTGAACGGTGAGCGAACGCCGAATGAACGGTGAACGAATGGTGAACAAATGCAGAGTGAACGATGAGTGAACGATGTGCGAACGCTGAACGCAACTTGGTGAACGATGTGTGAACGGTGAACGGTGAGTGAACGCAGAACGCGAACGGAGCGCGAACGCGAGCGAAAAGTGAACGGTGAACGAACGGTGAACGCAAGATGAACGATTTATTCGGAATGCCTCCGATCTTTTCCTTGCATTGAATTTATTCTATTATTCTATAATTCTAATTTCAGGTGCTTTAATATAAATAAACAATAGATAGATAAATAAATAAATAAATAATATAAACATTTATTTTTATAACACGATTTTTATTGCCGTAAAACATGTGTATTTGTTACCGAATGCGTGTAGTTTAAATATAAAATTAATCTATTTATATAGCAAATATGCTTATTCTTTTCACAAATAAAATAATGTGGACTTTAGAAGATAAAACTACTACTTATAGAATGAATTAATTACATTGTACGTGATTGAAACTAACATACATGTATTTCCGTGCCAAGGCGATTCTGAGTAAAATAACGGATTTTTTTTTTTTTGAATTCACAATTGTCTGTTGACGTATTCCATAAAAGCTCTCGTTTTTTGCTCACCTGAGCCGAAGGCTCAAGTGAGCTTTTCTGATCACATTTTGTCCGTCGTCTGTCTGTCTGTCTGTCTGTCCGTCCGTCCGTCTGTAAACTTTTCACATTTTCGACTTCTTCTCAAGAACCACTGGGCCAATTTTGACCAAACTTGGTACAAAGCATCCTTGGGTAAAGGGGAATTTAAATTGTTAAAATGAAGGGCCAAGTCCCCTCACAAGGGGAGATAATCAAGAAAAGACAAAAATAGGGTGGGGTCCTTAAAAAATCTTCTTCTCAGGAACCACTAGGCCAATAAGGCTGAAACTGATGTGGAAGCACCCTGGGGTAGTGTAGATTCTAAATTGTTCAAATCATGACCCCCGGGGGTAGGGCGGGGCCACAATGGGGAATCAAAGTTTTACATAGAAATATAAAGGAAAAATCTTTGAAAATCTTCTTCTCAAGAACCACTGGGCCAGAAAAGCTGAAACTCATGTGAAAGCATTGTGGGGTAGTGTAGATTCTAAATTGTTCAAATCATGACCCCCGGGGGTTGGGCGGGCCCACAATGGGGAATCAAAGTTTTACATAGATATATATAGAAAAATCTTTGAAAATCTTCATCTCAAGAACCACTGGGCCAGAAAAGTTGAAACTGATGTGGAAGCTCCCTGGTGTAGTGTAGATTCTGAATTGTTTAAATCATAACCCCGGGGGGTAGGGTGGGGCCACAATGGGGCATCAAAGTTTTACATAGAAATATATAGGAAAAATCTTTGAAAATCTTCTTCTCAAGAACCACTGGGCCAGAAAAGCTGAAACTGATGTGGAGGCACCCTGGGGTAGTGTAGATTCTAAATTGTTCAAATCATGACCCCCGGGGGTAGGGCGGGGCCACAATGGGGAATCAAAGTTTTACATAGAAATATTTAGGAAAAATCTTTGAAAATCTTCTTCTCAAGAACCACTGGGCCAGAAAAGCTGAAACTGATGTGGAAGCACCCTGGGGTAGTGTAGATTCTAAATTGTTCAAATCATGACCCCCAGGGGTAGGGCGGGGCCACAATATGTATTACAAGGGAAAAATCTGGTAAAGAATAATATGACAAAAGATTCTCAGGTGAGCGATGTGTCCCATGGGCCTCTTGTTTAAATTTCTAATGCAAAATTTTCTATATTTATGTGTCTTTTGTATTCTTTGATGATGATTATTTTAGCTAACTTCTACATGTATCTGTAGACATTTCCCGGCCGTGATTATACTCGGTCAAGATGATTGAAAGAGGCATTCAAATTATTTGTAATAGATTAAATTTTCAAAACTAAATAAGGAATGTGCAGTCATAGTTTTTATTGAACAGAGAAATGTACGAGAGAGAGAGAGAGAGAGAGAGAGAGATAGATACCCCCTCAATTCTCAGATATCTGTTGTATCAAATAAAAATTCTTATTATTTTTCCTAAATATTCCAATCAGTAAAGGTAATCAATTTTTTTTAGATTAACAAATCCATTTGACAGTAATCATTAGCTTTTATTTTCCTTCATAAAGTTCACACGGTTCACAGGAAGTCCAAGTGCTTGTCCTGTCAATCAAAATTTATTCGACACAGTGGAGGTGTGGAAATCGCGTTTCACCGAACATGCCAAAGGCAAAGAGTCACTTTGTATTTCCAAGAAGTTTTAATATTTTTCCCTATCATTTCTAGATTTGATTTTTGCATTCCTGCAGAAAAAATAAATAAATAATGGGAATATATACTTGGAACGATTAAGTTTTAAATTGAATTTGAAACATTCCCTGCCAATTTAAAATACTAATGTCGGCACAAGTGTATTCTAAAATACTATTGATTAATGACTGTTTGATGTTGGTTTTGAGACTGATTTTTTTTTGTGTTACAATACACATTAAATATTAATTAAAATATACTGAAAATACACACTAAGAATTTTATTTCGGGAGAAAAGGCACCCGGGGGGGGGGGGGGGGGGTTTAATTATACTGAATGGCAAACATATATTTAGGTACGGTGAATGAAGGAATTTTCCTTCTGGCTTCTCTGACTATTTTAAACAGTTGTTCTTTTCTAAAATTTAAAATCACACTATCAATTTAATTAGCTTTAAAGATATTTAATTAACTGAGCATTTGCAGTACTGTTAATAATTCTCAGACCTACGTGTACAGTGTAGTTTAAAATACGTGTTGTGTAGAAATATTTTTTTGTATTCTTTTCTTGTAAAAGGAATAATTATTATACATCCATTAATGATTTGTCGTCCTTGACATTACAATAAATTGTTGCCACGCGTGAATCATTTGTACATTGCCCTTTTTTAAAATTTAAT